ACAATGTAGTGATTAGGTACTCTCGTGTATTAACTGTTAAGGTAAACTAGTTTCAAGTCAAAACGGGTCGCGATGCACACATTTTGCAAAAGTTATTAGGTATTCAAAACCTATATTTTATTAAAACAAGCATTTTATTTTATTATTCTACAAAACTAACTGCACTTGTGAGAAAAAAAAATTGGCTTATTGGACGATTCGCACGAATTTAACTCGCACGAAACGTGCGAATTGACTCCTTTAAAATATATTATTTTTTCTGTAGTCGATTCGCACGAATTTCTTTTCTTGGCGTGCGAATCGACACCCTCACAAATATGTAGTAGGCTATTCGCACACATATTGTTTTTCATGAAATATAGTTAAGATAAAGTACACTTGAGCATAGAAGTAGAATGGTCAAATATGTTTTACTCGTAATAGATAGAAAATAAAAACACAATCTATAATCAACAATATCTGTATTAAAATTAAAACTAAGTATTCATTTCTCCATAAAGACTTTTGGAAATGAAATAAACAACCTTCAATACGTGTATTAGGAAAATTTTTTCAATAGCAGCCATCGCACTTATTTCAAAATCTGTGGTAGCGTATACGTGGAGAAAAGTGAGGAATTCGACATTTTATATTAAAAAAATTTCGTATGTTTTTTCTTGATTGTCCGGTAGTAAAGTGTATATGGCTGGTAAAATATGTATGTTCATGGGTACTTCCCAAATCTATATGTAACGTGTATACTTGAAAAAACGATGGTACGCAGCTTTTGAACGTCCTATCGCAAAAAATGCTTTCTGCTGGTTCAATATATTTTATAACATTTTGGTTTGCAAGAAGTGTAATTCTTGTTTTCTTATATCCATAAGCAGCAAACTTCAAATCTTCGTAGCATGGAGGAATAATAAGATCTGTAACTTTTTTGAATCTCATTTTTTTTAATCTGTAGTGATATGTTTCTGTGTCGATAGAGCCTTTTCTTACTTTCAAGTAAATCTCTTCTCTGTTCTAATCTGCTGTTTAAACTTCGATTATTTTTTGTTTTTATTTCAGTGATGGCTGAATACGACTGTACTTTAATTTTTTTAAACCTTAAAATGTAATGTGTGCGAATAGCCTACTACATATTTGTGAGGGTGTCGATTCGCACGCCAATAAATGAAATTCGTGCGAATCGACTACAGAAAAAATAATATGTTTTAAAGGAGTCGATTCGCACGTTTCGTGCGAGTTAAATTCGTGCGAATCGTCCAATAAGCCAAAAAATTAAGTAATTTTATTAATCATATTGAGGTGAGCACTTATAGGCTGACGATATATTATAGAGGTTATGACATCACTAGCTTTGCTAACTTTTAAACTTTCGCGTTTCATCTTAAGAACATTATATTTACGCGGGTATTAACGCGGAAAATAATATCCGTGATGATATCACTAAAAAACAGAGCATATGACCTCTGTGACCCTGAACATCTGGGGCAAGAGCTAGACCATGTTCAGGAGGTACTTAAAAAGAACGGATATAGTGTAGGGGATGGGCGACTATTGCGACCGCTGAAGAGAGCCAGACATCCAAACGTGAGCAGACAACCTGCCTTCATGCCTTATATCAAGGGTGTGACAGACAAGATAGGATCCGTCCTTAAAAAGTTTTCGATCCCGACGATCTACACACCTGAGGCTAAACTTCATGATAAGGTAGGCACGGCGAAGGATGTACTGCCGCTACAAAGCCCAGGTGTTTATAAGATCAACTGCAGCTGCGGTAGTTCCTACATTGGGCAAACGAAGCGGACCATTGCTGAGAGGCTCAAAGAACATATCGCCGCAGTCAAAAACCGACAGAGCAACAAATCAGCGATAGCAGAACACCTGCTCCAGGCTGGTTCTAATCACTGGGTAGAATTCCACCGACCGCAAATTCTCTCCACTGATCGCCACTACCATACAAGACTTGTGCGTGAAGCGGTTGAAATAAAGAAATGCCCAAATAATTTCAATCGGGAGGACGGCTTTAAATTGTCGTCGACGTGGAATCCAGTGCTTCGCAAAACACAACCTCGCTTTCCTTCAAAGTCGGTTAACACATCTATGGATATAATCAGCGTAGTGTGTAGACGGCCTAATATGGTAGAAAATGAAAATAAGGGGGTAGATGAAGATTCATCACCCGAATGCAGGGAGCTGTGACATCGCGTCTTCAGTCTGCTTGTGACCACGACCTGTGCAACCGGGTCGAAACGTCAAGCCTACCAAGGTATTCAAATTATAATTTTCCGCGTTAATACCCGCGTAAATATAATGTTCACTAGCTTTGGCCCACAGCTTCACTCGCATTGATAAAACGCCTATGTGTCAATCCATGACCTATCTACATACCTCCGCCAAATCGGTCCAGCCGTTTTTGCGTGAAAGAATAATGCTCACAGTCTTTCACATTTTTAACATTAGTAGGATTCTAATTACTACTAATTTGTAATTGGATTCTAATAATAATAATTTGGATACTAACTTGTCGAGTAAAAATATCTTCTGACATGCCAATGACGATAAGGAGTTTCAGCAGATTCTTTATCCCTTCACTACGCGGCTACGCCCGTGTGTTATTTTGATAAAAAGTAACCAATGTCCTATTCCGGAGTGTATTCTATGCCTGTGCCAAATTTCTTCAAGATCCGTCCAGCTGTTTTGGCGTGATTGAGTAACAAACATGCAAACAACGTTACTTTCACATTTATAATAGTAGTAGTAGTAATTTAGGGAACAGAGAGTATAGTATAGTTCCCTAACATCGGAAAAGGAGGATCCTTCGACCAGGTGAGGAGATCATGCTTAGCAGAGTGGCGGGCTACTGCCCAACAGTTCGTCGTCGTGGTCGTCTCACCATCACTGACTGGGGGCGTGAAGTCGATTCCGGCCGATGCCTGTTTCGGCGGTATCGCTCGCTGCCTGCAACAGCAGGCGAGGTCCTTTGAGTAGTCGGGCCTCTTGCGGGGCCCGATGTGGTCGGTCGGCTCCGTCGGTTGGCGGCGCGTGGTAACAGCAGTGCTCAACAGTTGTACTTTGGGATTTTCTATCCGTGTTTATTAACGCGTAAACTTTACTTGCGCGATGTAGGATTTTTTGTAACGCCATCTGTTATCTATCTATGTGACTTTCTACAGTTAAATTGTTTCTTTTTTCGAAATTCACAGCTATTATTTTGTTTAGTCCGACTACGGAAATGTTTATCAACCTTGTTATTAATTGTTTAGCAGGGAAAACAAGCTGTTGAACGTCTAACAGGTCGAAGCAATGAATATCAATTGAGCCAATAATTTTAATAAGTCAAGTTCAAACCACAGGATGATGGGGTATGAAAAACATTGCGTATTTGAACAAGCTTTGGGTGTGTGAGAAGTATACAAAAAATCTAAAATAAACTGCCGGGACAAAGACCATCAAATTAAATGAAAACATTTAGTTTTTAATTCCTAAACATAGGTGTGTGGGAGCCATGCTTCGGCACCAATCTGCAAATCAGTGATTTTTGTTACATTTTATTTGTATGTGACAATGTTAATAGTCATATTAGTAATATGTAGAAAAAAATTATCTAAACAGATAAAAATAAATATTTTTTTTTTCTTTTTAGCCGTCGAAGTCGGCTGGTGGTCGGTGGAAAATGGAGGTAAAATTATTTGTTGCATTGAGAGGAAGGTTTTAGTCGTAGGTAGTTTAGTAGTAGTAGATCAGATTTGATGCAGTTTTTTTACCTTAACTGCGTCGAATATATAAAACAATGTTTAGTATTTAAAATTAATTAATTTCACACACAAAAACACAAGGGATAAAATATTTCTGCATTGTTATTTCCAGTGTCCTTTTAGTCCAGTTAGTTACCTTTTCCCGAATAATCTCTTGACTAAAGAAATCGTGAAAAAAAATATATTTTGTAAACAAGTTATACTTACATTATTTTAAATCTCCAAGGGATGATTTTTCAATAGTCAGATAAGTCTGAGGAATAAAATTGTTGTTGTCACTGTCTTTGTCTTATACAAACATTCTGACGCGACAGCATCATAATTATTCCTTAGATATCTTTTATATAACCGTTGAAAAATCAGCCCTAAGCATATCAATAATGGCTTATACTAGAGTGGGCGAGAGAACACACCAGGGTCCGCTAAGGGTTTGAGAGATGGCGATGCGAGGAGATGATGACGTCACTCGAAGACACCATGTGTCAGGGATTAATTATAATAAATGATGGTTTCAATTGGGCAGTTTCCTAGGTCAAAATAAATTAATTCGACGTTTCAATACAATAAAATAGCTAATAATTAAGAAATAAATAAGCTATTTGAGTAAGTTTTAAAAATACTATGACGTCATAAGTCAGTTTTCCATACAAATTTCATAGAAAAGTATAGTTTTTGACGTTTGGATAAAAATATTGAATTTGAATAGTTGGCAAGTACCGTAAAAAATCTCACACAGGTTAAAAAGTATGAAAAAGATTTTGAATCTAGAAAAAGACTACAGATAATTTTTCATGTCGCCTAGCTGTGTTCTCTGCTCGCATGTGTGATCGCTGAAAGGTCTCGGATTCGATTTCCGAGCCGTGCAAATAGGTATTAGGATTTTATGATGTTTCAAACTTTTCTCGTTGGTAGAGTTGCACAAAATCCTGGAATTTTTCCTGGAGTAAGCCGGGGTTGCGCGTCAAGCGCCATTAGGTACCGCGGCCACGGTCTAAAAGCAGGAGAAGTAACGGAGGGTTTTCAGTCAGTAATAATAGTCTGACACTCTCTTTCACCTCACGTAGGACGAGAGAAATCATTCGAAGTCCCTCAAAAAAGAAAGCCAATTCTGGGAAATATAGGTACTAAACCTCCTTTCAGTTACGTATTCTAATTTATTCTTGTATTTCATAACATAATTTTATAAGTTATGGTCAAAGGACCGGGCAGCTCTTGTATTATGAAGCTAATATATAAGCACTGTTTCGAAGATAGGAACGACAGTGCGTCGACGCAAGCATACATCGCTGTCACGCAAGCGCGTGAGACGAGAGCGCGCTCGTAAATAAAAATAAACTTTATTTTTTATAAAATTAAATTCTTATTCAAATATCAACGTAAATATCGATTTGAAATATTTATTTTACGCTTAATGATATTGAATTTTTTTAGTGTGATATTTATTTTTTATTTGAATTTTTGTATTAAAATAATTTAGTTCGGTGTGATATTTATTTTTTGGTGGTGATTTTTGTAAATAAGTTAAAAAAATGGTGAACAAAATGTATAAAATTAGTTCCGCGAAAGAAGAAAAAGTTGGGAGCAAACACAATCAGATTCTTATGTCCATTGTAGGTGAGTAATTATGACAATTAAGTACAGTTTTTTTTTAATTGTTGACAGTTTTTTTATTCCATTATGACGACGTTGGTCTATTACGATTTATGACTTATTTATATGATTTTTTCTGTTCTTTTTTTTTAATATCTATGACGCGTGTTATGAGCGTTAAATAAAAAAGTAACATTGTTTATAAGGTACATTATTTTACGGATACATACAATACAATTAGACATACATAAATGATAAAAAAATTATAGTAATATTTTGATGACGGATCACATATAAAATTTTAACATCTACATTTAAATTTTATCTAAAGAAACAGAGGCCGCAAATGATTTTGTTAGCATAAAAAGAGTTACAATGTTAGGCCTAAGTTAATTTATTTTTATACGTAATCAATAATACCATCATTTAATTTTATTCACTTAATTTTTTTTTTTCATTTGTTTAAAAATCTTTTTTTATTTTTCTGTCACCTTAACAAAACTTAAAATGTTTTTTTTTGAAAAAAAAAACTATATAGACAATCCCAATTAATTCAAATATAAATCTATCTTTACCCTTTAGACTTCCCGTATTTTGAATCTTTTCAAGTTATAAATAAAAAAAATGCATTTCTTTACTTAGCCTTAGGTAAATCTTCCACAAAATTTGAATAATAGGCACTTTTTATAGTAGATATCCAATACAATTTAAAAAAAATTTGAACGTTATACACGTACCTAAATGTACCAACGTTATCCGAATACTCTAATCAAAAAACCCGATAATTGACGATACTAATTAGTCAATCAAAACTTCATTAAATAGTAATTTAATTATTAAAACAATAACATTAAACAAATCGCGTTTTTCATCTGAGTAATACAAACTAATATTGATGTTTTTTTTCACTATCAATCGCTGAATGCTGAATGAAAAACAAAGAAGGTTGATTAAGAGCGTTTTCTTTCATTGTAATTTTTTTGTCGTTATCAGAAAATTTACAAATTCACATTCAAATTCAAATTACTTTTTTTGTAGACCATAGGTTACAGAAGATGTTACAAGCTTTACATTGATCTGCTATGTCTTGCCACCAACGGCGTACAAATATGTTAAATATATACCTATATAATATATATAATAGCAAAGGATAATATAGCATACCTAGTTATAATAGCAAAGGATAGCATCGTGGTCGGTCTATATCCTACAAAAATTGATACACCCTCTATATGTATATTGATACGGCTACACACCTTATAATTTCAACCGTAGTATCATTATTGTCACAAGTCCTTTGTATAACACGTATGTTGTTTTTCGCCGGGTGAATTAGGCTATCGGAAGCCCGAAACATAGATACCTGCTCCTGTATCCCCCCTTAATCTTGGGGATTGGAAGGATTAAAGAAGGCAAACACACCTGAAAAGTCCGGTGATAAACTTGCAAACCTCTATGGCCTTTCGGGTGTCCATAGGCGCGATAGTTTGTGATCCACCAGATCGTTTGCTGATCTATCTTCGTGCAACTTTATTTAGCCTAAAAGTCTCCTTCTCCTAGGTTATCATAACTTGGAATACGGTATTTCCAACTATTCAATTTCAATACTTTTTTCCAAACGTCAAAAACGATACGATCTATGAAATTTGTATGAAAAACTGAGTTATGACGTTATAACATTTTTGCGTCAAATAGCTTAGTACTTATATCTTAATAATTAGCTAAAAAATCTAAAACCTAGTAACCTAGATCGATGGATGAATAAAAGTATACGTAGTTATTTTTTAATATTTTATTGTATTGAAACGTCAAATTAATTTATTTTTGACCTAGGAAATAACCCAATTGAAATAACCTCAACAGGAAAAACTGATGTCTAAATACTTCACAGTCGCAGCCAATTTCTAAAAAGATGGAAAAAAGATTGTGCGATATAAATTGATGCAGAAAGCCTTCTGCAAGTCGCTATCCTTCTGCATAAGATTCCGTACAATAAGGTTCGAGCAGGAGAAGGTACTGGGAAGTTTTTAGTCAGTAAGAGTCTGACACTCCCGCCCGATACCCAGTGCGAAAGTAGTCATTTGATGATTTTACCCCCGACAACAAAAAAAACACATCATCAACTACAACGAAGAAAACATACAAATGAAACCCTTATGAAAAAATATTGAAGAAAATGTGTGCAATCAAATTATTAAATCGTTTCACGCATCATTGTTGATGCAACCGATCTATACAAATTGTATGCAATACGGCAGTGTACGCCAGTGCCAAGAAATGTGCCACCACGTGCATGCACCTGACATTTTTCATTTCCGTTTTGTTATGATCACTATAAGAAATACATCATCCTCTAAATAAAAATCTTAAAATAGACTACAACAGCACATCTACTAACGCGACTGCAAAAATGGCTGCTACTTTTCTTTTGAGTAGAGAATATCATCCAATGACTTCTTCCACCTTCCACGCGGCGTAAAGGTGAGTCAGACTCACATCATTCGTCATCAACCTATAAGTGCCTACTGCTGAGCAAAGACCTCTTCTCATGGAGAAGGTTTGAGGATTGACCACCACGTTTGCTCAAGGCGAATTGGCGATTTCAAATTTATAATTCGGAATTTAAAGTCCAGGTTTCCTCACAACGTTTTCCTTCACCGTACGTCAGTGGTGTCTAAATAATCATATAAAAGTACATGTAACTCTGAAAAAGTCACATTGGTACTTACCAGGTTTTGGACTTGCAGCACCGTCATGCAAAAAAGGGTGCCTTAACCTCCGTGTCCCAACGGTAGACATCAGCTTTTTACCAACTAAAAAGCATCCCGTTCCTTCTAATGCTCCAGACCAGGCTGCTGTACGTAATTGGGTAGTTTTATAGGTCCAAAATAAATTGATCTGACATTTCAATATAATAAAATATTAAAAAACTAGCTACTCTCACGCGGTTTCACCCGCTACTCGGCTTCATTTGATCGTAGCGTGATTTTTTATAGCTAGTTAACTATCTATCTCTGAAAGAATTTAGGCAGTCCGACCCCGAGTCCATTACCCCCTACATACAAACTTACAAATTTTACCTCTTTATGATATTAGTAACAGATAGTAGGTATAGATAACGATACTTTTAATCATCAATCTGTTGATAGGTACACAACATTTTCGATAAATTTTGCTAATATTTAAAAAATAAGTAAGCTATTTGACTCAAACATGTTATGACGTCATATTTGAAAGAAACGGAGTTTCAACGCATAATATTGTTTTTGACCAAGGGCCAAGAGGAAGTGTCAGACTCTTACTGACTAAAAACTCCCCAGTTCCTTCTCCTGCTCTAGGCCGGGCCTTCATGTGGCACTTTATGTGCATTAGTTTTAGTTATTATGTAATATTATTATATGTTTATAGTATTTTTAAGTTTTATATTGTTTATAAAATAATGTATTGCGTATATTTCTTAAGGCCTTCGGTATCTGAAATAAATGGACCAACAAATAAATAAATAAAAATTATAACTCTTGCACCCGCAACCCTGATATACGAGTAGGTATACTTTCTGTACTGTCCTATTAGTTTTGTCTTGTAAATATGAAACAATGAATTTATTCTTCTAAATAAGCCATAAAAAAAGCACTTTTACACGTCAAAATTAAATGTGAAAAACTAAATGAAGTCGGAATATGGTGGTATTAATCTGATAAATTAATAAAAAAGACGCTTTTTTTAAAGTAATGAAAATAATGTACTTAATAACAAAGATTAATTAGAAACCTTAGAGTTATAATCTCAATTATTAGCTACCGCAGTCACACTGCCATCAAGTGATTATCATTGTGTTAGCCGTGTCATGTTTTTATTAATTAAACTTCGTACATAAGACAATTAATGGCAGAGGTCTACATATCAAATGTGACACTCGCTTTTAACTAGTTATGATCCCATATAATAGGGCTCATCATCAGCCTATAAGTGCCGACTGCTGAGCAAAGGCCTCTTCTCATACGGACATGGTTAGAGCATTAATCACCACGATTGCTCAATGCGGGTTGGCGATTTCAAACTTATAATTAGAAATTATAAATCCAGGTTTCCTCACGATGTTTACCTTCACCGTATGTCAGTGGTGTCCAAATAATCATGGAAAGTACATATAACTCGGAAAAAGTCACATTGGTACTTGCCAGGTTTCGAGCCCACACCCTCATGCATGAGAAGCGGGCTCCTTAACCTCCGGGCCACCACGACACCTTATATAGGTATAATAGGACTGCTAAATCTTATTTACAAACTTTATTTCCCAATCTCTAAATCTTCGAAACTCTAATCTGGTGCTACACCAGAGGAATGGTGAAACCAGGGTGTTTATAGACGGCGCTGATTATTTACCAGTGTTAACTGGCGCCGATTGCTTACCATCAGGTAATTCGTTTGCAGTCTTATCACATAAAAAACTCAAGAAACTATTCTTCTGTAGTTCTTACAACCATTCTACAACGAAGATAGTCACTTATTTTTAACTAGCTTTTGCCCGCGACTCCGTTCGCGTGGAATAGTGACTTCCTGCTGATGTTTGGTATGAAAACTATCCTATGTCCTTTCTCGAGTTACAAACTATGTCTGTACCAAATTTCATAGAAATTAGTCCAGTAGTTTAGGCGTGAAGAAAAAACAGACAGACAGACAGGCAGACAGAAACTGTTAGTTTGGATTTAAAATTGAATTTAGAATACGAATTTCTTCCCATAGTCCCATAGACAGTTAATGCAAATATAGACTGCGTCATAGACAAGTTGCGAATCTAAAAATACATAGAATCGTGCCTTTAAGTACCAGGAACGCATACCTGCTTAGTGCTTGTTACTTAGCTATTTAAGCCATGGTCTATATTTAACCATAGATATTTTTAGCCCGCTAGCTAACCTTTTTATAGAGTTCAACGGACTAAATGATTATGTAGTGTCTGTTTTACTTGGAGAATGGTATTTTAGTTTTCTTTTCGTGCAGAATTATTAATTCTGCATTTAATGTTTTATTTTTATTGTTAAATAGCTACGCTCGCACTGTTTTACCCGCTGCACTGATCCATTTGATTGTAACGTGATGTTTTATAGCCTATAGCGCTCAGGAATATTGAAGCTATCTATTAATTACTAAAAGAATTTTGGAAATCCGACTGGTAGTTCCAAAGATTACCCCCTACATACAAACTTACAAACATACAAACTTAAAAATTTTACCTCTTTATAATATTAGTATAGATTATAAAATACAACGCAAGCGTTAAATCACGTCGGTTTTCTGTGACACCGTGGTATAACTCTGGCCGAACTACATATGAATAAAACTACAAAGAAATCAAATTTAAACAAAAATTTCCTTTTTTTTCAGTATGTATGCCAATCCTGGCGTATGGTACAGCAATGGGATGGATATCCCCTAACAAAGCGCTGCTCATGGGGGACTACTCCCCTGCCAGCTCACCCCTCACTGAAGAAGATGTCTCCTGGATGGCATCCATCATGTTCATCTTTGCACCAATTGCTGTGTTCGTGTATGGCGTTGCTGCTGACAAGTTTGGCAGGAAAAATGCTTTACTTTGCGCTTCCATACCTATTTCTGTAAGTATGGTTACATTTTATTAGCTAAACCTGTCTTTTTTTTTCTTTTTTTAATCTAGTATCCAGTTTCGGGTTAAAATCAGACATAAAACGTAAAAGTAGACCATCACCAAATGAAATTCGCTGTCAAAAACCACCACAATATTATATCATCGGTTCGTTATTATTGAAAAAAAAACTTGAAGCAAGTAAACTATTTATAGTTGGCATTACTTTGTACCTTCTCCATTATACTTCTTAGCCATTATTGGCAAATTTATAAGCCGAAAAGTTATTGTACCTTTTTTTAACACTCAGTATACAGAAGCTGGAAGTGGAACACCTTTAATTATTGAGGAGTTATTTGAATCCCTACCACTGGCAGGATATAAAGGGTTGCAGTAAAAATTAAATAAAAAAAAATAAAGGATCCATCCATCAGAACCCATATTTCAATGACTAGACGAAATCTTAATGCATAACCGCATCTATTTTGTTTCTTATTTCAAACCGATTTCAATTTACAGATCGGCTGGGCAGTCAAATTGATGTGTGCACATCCGATCGCATTGATCGGCGCACGCGCACTCATTGGATTTGGTTCTGGTGGAGGGTTCGTAGTGTGCCCTCTGTATGTGAAGGAGATCAGTGAGGACAGCATCCGAGGAATGACGGGGACCTTCGTCATATTTTCACAGGTAACAAACTCAATTTAGAGTATCAGTTTTTTATAGTCTTAGCTTTTTATGGTCTGAGTCCTTTTCTCTACGAGGCGGGAAAATCATTCAATGATTTCTCTCGACTTGAATTTTTCGCAATCTCACTTACTTTGCTTACGAAAGTCAAATAAGTTAATGTTACTTTCAAATCAAATCAAATCAAAATCATTTATTCCAACTAAACCATAAATATGTACCTACTTTTGTAACGTCAAAATAGAATAGTAGTCTGTTAGTCTGTTCGTCAGTGAAGCTAGGTGCTCGTTCCAAATTGTAGTTTCGAACGGAGAAGAACGAGCAAGAAACCACATCGTTACTCTTTTTAAAAAATATTATTTGTTTTACAATTCACTAATAATTTTTTTTTATATATTATTGTACCCCTATGTGAGAACAATGCAGAGACAAGTTGTTAATAAAAAGGAACAAATGATGGTCTATCTATTTGATATATAGATATAGAGATATTTTAATCCTTTGTCGTCTCGAACATGGCGCTCACATATGCGTACTCACAATCCAAAAGAATGCTTCTACATAAACTCATTCAAGGTTTCATTAATATTGAGAACTTCAGTAACTACTGACTATACCATATTTGAGTATTGTCCAGTGGAGCCGAATCAACATGCTACCAGGCATTCTTATCCTCAATATACTCTGAAAGTTTGTAGTACTCCTGTCTACACAATTAGCGTTTAATATGAGTTTTAAATTTTCGTTCATTGAGATTTAATATACTTCTTGAAATTTTATTGTAACAATTTTCATTTTTTTACTGTAACATTTGAACCCCATAAAGGATTTCTGTACTTTGGACAGACGGAATCGTGGCACAGTCAGCCTGTCTTTGTCTGTTGTATTAAAATTATGTCTGTCGCTTCTTTTTTCAAATAATTGCAAGTTTTTCCTTACGTACTTAATATTTTAATATACATCTCAACTGACAAGGCTCCGTTAGGATATTTATCGTCTTCAGTTTCATAATAGTCTTCTAGTCTTCTTGTCTTCTTATAGTTGATTTGCTGTTACGTAGGTTTTTTTTTCAAAAATAATAGTATTAAACCTGGATTTGAATTCCACGGTTGATTCTTACAACACTATCAATCTTATATATTATATATACCTATTATATAAAAATTTATACCTATGTATAAAAATTTCGTGTCACGTGTTTGTCCGGGATGGACTCCAAAACTACTTAACCGACTTTAAATTTGATTTGCATTCCGTGTGCATTTTGATCCAACTTGAAAGATAGCTTACATCTCAATTTATAGTCACAATATTATTTTATTGCAAATGCTGGGTCTACTAGTAACTTATATAAAAAAGTTTAAAAATAAATATGTTTGTATAGAAAATTCTAGAATCATCTCTGATATCCTTACATTATATATGTATAATATTTTATTACATAAACTTTTCGCCACGAAATTAGCAAACATTTAAAATTAAATTTACGTACCTAATCGACAATCCGCAAAGGTATTGTAACTAACCAAAATAAAAAACTAAAAATACCTAAGTACTTATAACAAGTTACACCAGTTGAAAATCTATTAAAAATGTAAATCAAATACCTACAAAAACGTTAATTATTATGTCATTATTACATGAATATCATGGCAACGAAGAGTGATATATTTGACGACTACACTCTGTAATCCCAAATCGCCTGAGAAATGTTAAGATTACAGCTTCATAAGCTAATAGCTACTCTCGCGCGGTTTCTTCCGCTGCTCGGCTCCATTTGATCGTGGCATGATGTTTTATAGCCTATAGCGCTCAGGAATATTGAAGCTATCTATTACTAAAAGAATTTTTGAAATCCGACCAGTGGTTCCAAAGATTACCCCATACATACAAACATACATACTTACAAATTTTACCTCTTTATAATATTAGTATAGATTATAGATCAGACCACCATAGGTAGGTATAGGGGTGGCGTTCATTCAGAGTTGCGGGTCAAGCGAACCCAGCAAGGCTAAACCACCTCGTTTCTCCAGGAGGAGAAACAAGAAAGAGGTTTATAGTCAGTAAGAGTCTAATACTACACACAGACTACAGACGGGCGAGCGAGCTATCCTTGTCGACAGTTAGATCTCAGACAACCTCCTGCAGAGGCTGTAATAAGGGTTGACCCTGCTACCTGATCGAATATCATTCCAGATACTAAAATGTCATGACGAATTTTTGACAGTGAAATCTTTTGGCTAATAATACTGATCTATACTTATCTTATAAAGAGGTAAAATTTGTAAGTTTGTATGTAGGGGGTAATCTTTGGAACCGCTGGTCGGATTGCCAAAATTATTTCACTGATAGATAGCTACAATGTTCCTGAGGGCTATAGGCTATAAAACATCAGGCTACAATCAAATGAAGCCGAGCAGCGGGTGAAACCGCGTGAGAGTAGCTAGTTGATAATATTATGATGTTACAAATCCTACATAGCACAAGTAAAGTTTGGGAGCAGATTAACACGGATAGAAAATTGTAACATACATATATACATAATATAAATAATAGCGCCCCAGATGATTATTTTGCCCGGTTCTTCCAACATTTTGCTTTTCCGCAATCAAGGCCGCCCATGGACAGTCATAATACGAATGGAGTTACCGTACTAAAAGTGAATTGCCGGGCCTCTGGTGGATTATTAGGAATTTGAGGATTGAAGATGGAAAGGTTTGAGTCTCCGATAACCTCACTCACACGGCGAAACACAACGTCAATGTTGCTTCACGCCGGATTTCTGTGAGGTCATGGTATCACTCCAGTCGTGCCGAAGCATGGCTCTTTCACCTTATCTCTCTGTTTCCTATAAACTCAATAATAGTTTGACCTCCTTATTAATTGAACGAACCCGAAATAGATTTTTATGGGTTAAGTCGGCAATGAGCAGACGGATTACCTGATGGTAAGCAATCAGTGCCGTCCATGGACACTCATAATACCAAAGGAGTTACTATAAGTGCGTTCTCTTTTAGATTATTAGGAATTTAGGGATAGGAGATTTGAGGATGGGGGGAAAGTTTTCTATAAGGTCATGGTATCAGTATCACTCCAGTCGAGCCGAACCAAGACTTTATCACACATAATCTCTCAGTTCCCTATAAACTCAATAATAGTTTGACCTCCTTATTAATCGACCGAACCCAGAATCCCTTGATCAGCAATCATTCCTACTTACGAACACAGAACAGACGATACAGCGTTAATAGAGTTACATATTAATATTATCATAATTGTTTTCATAATATACATATCTAATGGCGACGGCGTGCGCCAATCGTTAATATATCATTAATTTATATTTAAATATCTATCATGTATATTAGAAGTGATTTATTATATAAAGAACCACACAAAGACACGTGTATTTCTATCTCAATCGTATAATTTTATGAATCATGTGATTGCTCTATATTACTTCGATTTCTATTACAATCATGAATGTGTTTTCATAAGACACGACTGGAGAAAGGTCAAGCTTCTGAAGGTTTTTCGAATTTAGACTTTACTGTTAATGTATTAAGCCTTTTTTGTCAAGAGAAAATCATCAAGACAATGACTGCTCCCGCCCAGGGTTTGGCGAGAGGGAGTGCCAAACTCTTACTGACTAAAAACCCTCCCGATTCTTCTCCATTCATCGCACTAAGCCGAGGTGGCAGTGCCTAATTGCCCTGACTAAACATCAGTTCTATAGAGCCATTAGAGCCCCGTCAGTGGTAGTGGTTCTTGGAGGCGTGCGCGGAACGCAACGCGCCGTACGCTTGGGTCTGTTTCTAGTCTGGCGGCGAGCTACCGAGCGTTTGATTCAGCCGAAGCAGGGTGAAACGTGTGCTTAGAGCGTTTTTTTTTTCTTTTTACCAAACGTTGCCTCAAGTACGATTCTTCTACTATGTCGTTGGTGCGATTACAAACATAATTATAATAAAATTTTACATACCTCCAGACTCGGAACAACAACAAAGAGTTGTTCCTTGCGTTCCGTATTAAATAGGAGATGGCATTATTTTCTTGTATAAGTATCACTTTGAGACGAGACAGAAAATAATGATGAAGTATTAATTAGGTTAATAATATGTTACCTTTAACTTGTTCTAATATTAGACTGTCTACGTTGTCTGGTGTCTGAATGTCAATTAAGATAACAAACGAACAACTATAGTGTTCTATGAAAAACCATGAGATATCTGAGCACCTACCTACATCTCTTTAAAGTTAAAGTATCAAAGTAATAAATAAATCTAAACTCTGAAATTGTCTGACGTTTTTGAATAGTAATCGTTAAAAAAAGAATCGTCAGATATACCTAATAAATTTATCGATATAACTTATTCGACTTAGGTACTCACGTAAAATAAGAATTTAGAAAAGCTTTACTTACTAATTTCAAGCCACAATAAATTTTGTCTAAGATTTTTGCAATTCTGCAATCATCCTCATCAGCAGCAGTAGCCCTTAACAACCCAGGGCTGGATTTTGGAACTTCTCTAGGCATGAGAGATCTGGTTTATTGGAGAATGCTTTCCCTCAAAGTCAAAGTCAAAGTCAAAGTCAAAATCATTTATTTCAACTAAACCATAAATAGGTACTTTTGAAACGTCAAAATAGAAAAGTAGTCTGTCTGTCTGTTCGTCAGCGAAGCTAGGTGCCCTAGACTCTGTTAAGCCATTAACTGCCAACAAATTGCTGTTGAGGGTAAATTCTCCGCCCACGTCTTATCCCCCGTGGTGTTCAACGGGGTTGTAATTCCTTTTTTTGAGAAGTGTAAACTATCTAAAGACTTCGTAACCTAGGTAAAGTGTTAAAATCTAACTAAAATTCACTCCGTTCAGAACTAATTCTTATTCTATTGAAGCATAAATTATGACCTCTAGAACATAATATATCACTCCTAACAAGTACCTAATCCAGAGTAATCCAACAAAAAAATCCGTGGTAAAAAGTCCAAAAAGTCAAAAACCCTAAACTACATGCATTACAATTAAAAATCCGGTAAAATATAATTAAAAATAAAGGCTACATAATATTAGGTAATAAGTAAATAGAAAATGAGGACCTACTCACGTGAAAGCTCTCCTAGTTTCAAGTCACACCGGGACTCTTAATCATGAGCAGCGTGTGCTCTCTTGCTCTCGTGATTAATTAAGCTGATGCGAGATAGTCGAGTCGTTATTTTCTATATTTTAAGTGTGTCTCACGATAATTTCTAATCAAAAACAGGTAACCTAAGTAACATAAAATTTTTTATTTTACTATTATTTAATTATTAAATTCACTTAAAAACTCTGCAGAATAAAACCTACTTCTTGAAAAAACGAATTTCGACGAATCGTCGCCCAAGTACTTGCTTAGTTTGGTCGTACTGTGATCAGCCTAAATCTTCGCATGCTTATGCCTTCGGGGAATGTACCTCGATAATGTACTTATCCTGTCAATCACGAATTCTCAATACGAAACCGCAATAATAGACGGGTACTCCCAACTCCGACACAGTTCTAAAAACAATATTACTGCGAAATCGTGATCTCTGAGACCTTGATGAGGAAAAATGGCGATAAATCAAAAACGATTAAATTCTTTAGTTTTTTGGGATTCCGTACGAGTAGTTCTTAAGAGGACCTTTTGTAATATTTTAGTTGGTTAGTCCCACTTACCTATTTGAGTACCCTCAATGTAATTTAAATTCTGTATAAATGTAAATTGGATCTGTAAACAAACACTATACATAAATAAATCCGATAACTCGGCTACAATTTGCCCATTAAGTACCTAATTGAGTTCAAAAATAAATGATTTCGACATTTCCATACACTGGTATATGAAATAAAAAACAAACATTATTTGTGTGGGAGAGCCATATGCTTCGGCACTAATGGGTTAGCTCGCCACACAGAAAACCGGCGTGAAACAACCACCTCGTGGTGTTGAGATAACCTGAGGCCCAATCTTTCCCCTCCCTCAAAATTTACTAAGTTTATTGTGTACTTAGGTACTACTTTCATTAATATTCATATTTTTCTTGTTTAATTTGTCAAGAAATATGACACGTGTAATAATTGGCGGCAAAAATATCATGACGTCACTATTCACCAAAACAACCATACAAAATTGTCAATTTTGACCAAACAAAACAAAACATTGAATTTGAATTTATTATGGTCAAACACACAAAGGGTCTTAAAAGGGCTTAGTCTATTGAAAAAAAAGAATTTATAAATAAATATTATTTTTAACGTTACGGAACCCTTTGTGGGCAATAGATACTTTAATAACACCTATACGAGCCGTCCCGGCTTTGTACGTAAAAACGTAAATTAGACTGCACGGTTAGCGCGATGGCTGGGCAACTGGCTACGGCGCGACGTGTCGCGGGTTCGATTCCCGCACGGAACAATGTGATGCCCGCAATGAACCTTCTTTGTGTGATCCATATATTGTTATTCCGGGTCTGGTTGGATATGTATGTGAAATTGTATGTTTGTAAACGCACCCACGATACAGGAGAAAATCCTAGTGTGGGGCAATGTTTAAAAAAAATGCTGGTACTAGTTTTTTATAAACTTTCCTCTTAAATCACTCTATCCGTTAAGAAAGCATCATAATCCGTTGCGTAATTTCGAAGATTTAAGCGTACATAGGGATATAGGGACAGATAAAGCGACTTTGTTTTAAACTAGTTAACGATTTTAAATTGTTTACTACGCAAATACATACTACAATACTGCAGGTTTTCCCCTTAAGTATACATAAAATATATGATTTTCCTGTTCATTTCCTCTTTTAGTTCTAAGAAAATTTTTATTGCACCATTTACTTATGAATTTTAAAACATACCTGCATACTTATGTCATTCATCAGAAGTTTCGTTGAATTTGTTGACATGAGAGTGACTGTATACAATGCAAAATCACTTTAGAGGACGTCCAACACATTTTGTATGAGTGTCGTCGTATTGAGTCTCAGAGATATCATTTTAGTAGTAGTTTTAACAGTTATGATATTGGTTTTTATCATAGTGTGCTAGCGTCACCATTATCATCTGAGGCCAAAAAATTGTATCATTTATGTTTAAAGTTAAGAGCTAGCTAAACCTATGAATGGTTTAGTAAGTAGATAAGTAAGTACTGAATTTTGTACACAATAATAGGGCTGAAATCTTCTGTATGGGAAAAAGCCCTTTTAATAAAATAAAGATTAAAAATAATCACTTTTGGGGTACAGTTAGGGGGGCAAAAACAATGATGTAGCCTTAGCTCATAAATTAATAAGTTAGGGGAAATATGCGTCACAATCACACAAAAGGAAAATAAAAAAAAAGTTAAGGATATTAAAGTAAATCCAAACTAATATTACTCGTATAAACGCGAAAGCAACTTTGTCTGTCTGTCTGTCTTTTCTCCACGCCTAAACTACTGAACCTATTTGTGTAAAATTTGGTACAAACATAGTTCGGAACTCTAGAAAGGACATAGGATAGTTTTGAAACCTAAAATTTGCAGCAAGTCACTATTCCACGCGAAATAGTCGGGGGCAAAAGCTAGTACCTACTACATAATACCTGCATATATTTTATTACTATACTACAATGTCATTTTTAAACCTCCTTCTCTTTGCAGACTGTTGGCAACCTACTAGTCTTCATCCTGGGAGACCTGCTGCCGTTCAACACGGTGCTCTGGATCCTGCTGGCTATACCCCTCATCCATTTCTGCATACTGCTGCGATTGCCCGAGACACCTTCCTTTTTGGTGAAGTGCGGAAGAAACGAGGTAAATAAAGATACAAGTATTTAATAATTAATGTTATAAATTGTTTTTTACACCACATCATCATAGGCCTTCAAATGCCCACTGTTGAGCAAATGCCTCTTCTCACACGGAGAAAGTTTGAGCATTTGTCATCATGGTCGTTCAAGTCGGATTGGCGATTTCCGCACGATGTTTTTCCTTCACCGTGCTTTAGGTCTGTGGTGTCTAAATAATCATACAAAAGTACATATAACTCGAAAAAAGTCACATTGGTACTTGCCAGGTTTTGAACCAAGCATGAGGCTTTAGAAGCCTTAACTTCCGGGCCGCTACGACATATTTATTATTTATTAAGAATTTATTGGTGTTTAACTAACTATCGTGAGACAAAAATTGTCTGCGCGGCGTGTAGTATGGACAAGGTGTTGCTATGCGACGTTCTAATACACTCACGGAAAAAAAATATCTTTGTGATCTACGAATTGTTATTTCAAACATGAGTGTTGGTATGGTTATCTGAGATTATATATACTCACTCGCGATACAGGAAACAATCCTGTCTGTCTCGTTCACTGTAAATGTAACTTACGGCTAAGAGTCCCGGTGTGGCTTGAAACTAATCGAGTCTACGTTCTACTCGGGTACTTTACGTTAATTGCTTGGTTGATAATGACATTTTTCCCAGTGTATACAAACTCCAAGCTACTATTCAGAAAATTACCAACTTAAATATTAACAAGTTTGTGTCAGCCATCCTTCGGCACGAATGAATGGGCCGGCTTGACCGGAGTCACAGAAAACCAGCGTTAAACAAACACAACGGTATGTTTCGCCGTGTGAGTGAGGTAACCGGATGGCCAATCGTTTCCCTCATCCCATCCCTGCCAAATCCCTTAATCCCCAAAAATCTTATCCCTAAAAGGCTAGCAGTGAAATTGCTCTGGTTTCCATGAGTGGCGCCCGATTGCTTACCATCTGGCAAACCGTCGGCTAATTTGCCACCGTATCAAAATATGCAATTTACATACCCATTCATTAAATAATTATATTGTCAATTATTATATCAACAATCCTTCATCAACACCTTTGTTTAAAATAAGTTATAATTAAATGAATCATTCAATATGACTGATTAACTTCTTACCAATGATTAATGATTGTTTACAAACAAGAGTTAAATGTTTTATCATTTTATCAGTCATTTACTTAAATTGCAATATAAATAAGATTGATTATCTTAACAATATTGCACGCATATCTAAAATGTGAAATTGAGGAATATGATTTATGACATCAAAGGGCTGATTTTTCAATAGTAAGATAAATGTTATCTGAGGAATAAAATTGTTGCTGTCACTGTCTTATACAAAGATTCTGACAGGACAATTTCATTATTATTCCATTATTCCCCAAGTAACTTTTATCTAATCATTGAAAAATCAGCCCTAAGAAGTCAAATGCAAACTTTTTACTAAATCTTAAAACGACTTTAGTACCAAGGCTGATCGAGAAAACCTTTAGTTTAACAAAATATCATCATCCCAGGTTGTTAGGTATGCAGGATGGCGAGTCAAGCTTAATAGGGCACCGTGGCTAGGCTAGAACGAGGGGAGGTCGGGTTTAGTTAGTAAAGAAGGAGAAACGAGAAGTTTTTAGTCATTAAGAGTCTGACACTCTCTCTCGCCTCACCCTGGGCGGGAGACTTCATTTGATTTTCGCTTCACAAAAAGGGTATATATAAAGATAGGTGTCTTTCTTTATATAGGTGTCGATCTTTACACCAAATTTCAACCAAATCGTTCCAGCAATTTTTGCGTGAAAGCATCACACAAACATACATCCTTACATACTCACAAACTTTCACGATTATTATATCAGTAGGATAGAAGGATATGATAATTAGGTACTTACCTATCTACCTATAGGTAGGTAATCTATCTATACTAATATTATAAAGAGGTAAAATTTGTAAGTTAGTATGTAGGGGGTAATCTTTGGAACTGCTGGTCGGATTTCCAAAATTCTTTCACTGATACGTACAATGTTAGATAGCTACAATGTTCCTGAGTGCCATAGGCTATGAAACATCACGCTACGATTAAATGGAGCTGAGCAGCGGGTGCAACCGAGCGAGAATAGCTAGTGTATACTAGAATTAGGAGCAAAGTCCTCCTATCATTATTCTGTGTGTAATATATGGAAGGTTACCTAATTGTTATTTTACGCAATCCTCAGCTTGGCTCTAGGTGCAATGATACTAATAAATGATAAACAATCATTATTTCTATACCTACCTACGTCAGTCGCTAGATTTGTAACAAAAAACAATCATTATTATGAATGAGAAATTAATGAGTCAACATTTCCATTTTAAACTAAGTAAGTATTGAAGTCGTGGTGGCCCGGAGGTTAAGGAGCCCGCTTCTCGTGCATTAGGGTGTGGGTTAGAATCCTAGCAAGTACCAATGCGTCTTTTTCCGAGTTATATGTACTTTCTATGATTATTTAGACACCACTGACATACGGTGAAGGTAAACATCGTGAGGAAACCTGGACTTATAATTTCTAATTATAAGTTTGAAATCGCCAACCCGCATTGAGCAAGCGTGGTGATTAATGCTCTAACCTTCTCTGTATGAGAAGAGGCTATTGCTCAGCAGTGGTAACTATATAGGCTGATGATGATGAAGTACTGAAATTGTAGCCCTTGAAACGCTAGGGCTAGGATGGATCTTGAACGCACGTTTAAAAAGGCTCGTTGCTTTATGACACGCCCTGGCTTTTTTATAAGGGGAAACTCATTAAAAGGCTTCGCCCGCCCAAGGTGGGGCAAGAGGGAATGTCAGACTCTTACTGACTAAAAACCCCCCCGTTCCTTCACCTGCTCTGGGCCGAGTCCGCGGTGATTGATTGTGCGTATTCCGCAACCCGGTGGCTGACCTGATACATGATTAAGGAATATATTGACTAAAATAAAAATAAAATGCTATTCTAAGTTCTTTGGTTTGGTGTACGGGTCAAGTCCCAATTCGAAGCAGTAGTTAGAACAGGACGGTTTACAGTGAAAACCCTTTATTATGTTTTTATTTTTGATACAGGAAACTGCCAAAGTGTTGGCATGGCTTCGATCTCTCCCCGTAGATGACAAGTCAATTTCGGAAGAAGTGGATCGACTCATCATTGAACAGACTACCAGTGAACTGAAGTTTTCACCCAGATTATTGTGTAAGTACCCTTCATATGAAGGTTTTTTAGATAGTCATTACGAACGAAGCGCATCCTCTATTCAGATCTTCAAGAAGGCAAGCGAAAAGCATGGGAATCTCTTGAGACATGACAAGTGAAGTTAAGGGCTTTGACGTCGATTCATCACAATAGGACGAGCTTATGTCTAATCGCGGAGAATATATGTATCTAGTACCTACAGCATAAAAATCTGACTTCAAATATTACCGCTTCACTCCGCCCTTATGAATCCCTAATCAACATATCTCACAAAGTTTCTTACTTAAAGCCGTTGGACAGCCCTGTTCCACCTGATCTGCTTCAATTGCATCGGACATTAGGACTTCAGATTCTTAGGTGACATCCGATCGTTTGACCATCTAGCCAGAGTGATAGATCAGCGCCACGTGCCAAACAGAGCTTAAATCACTAGTTTAAAACCAAGTAGCTTTCTCTGTCCCTATGTAGGCTTAAATCTTTAACCCTACGCTACGGATTTTGATGCGATTTTTTAGTAGATCGAGTGATCAAACCGGAATGTTTATAGGTATAATAACATCCATTATATGTAAATAGTAGAGTTTAGTATCACCATATTATTCTACACCGATGCAAAACCGAGACGGGTCGCTTGTACTAAAGGATGTAGTGAAGACTGATGTTTAAAAACAAGACCATATCTAATTATTATTGGTACATGAATATGTGGGCTTGTAATCAATTGAAGCCGTCTCCGACCTCTTTATAAAAAAACGTGGCGATCGCAATGTCCTTGTCGTTTGACCAATCCTCATCATTTTCAATTCAACCAACTGTTTAATTCACTTCTGACAGTTTGCATATGTCAAATGTCAATTAGTAACGTTTTGTTTGGGGTTAAACATTACATTGGGGCGATGTCAACCGCCTCGCTTGTTATGTTTTCCTGGTACTTTTAATTGCTTATTTATTTGTTTTGGTATTTTTATTTTTGTTTGTTTGTGATCGTTTCTTAATTGGAGTGTCTCATTGAGTTTTTTCAAGCGTGAATGCTGAGTGAGGAATTTCGAAAAAAGATATTCTTCAGATTATATTGTTGGGCCTTTTGCCAAGCACTACCTAGTATTTTTTTAACATTTCTTTGCATTTGTCCACAGTTTCTGACAAAACTACAGTAAAGGCTTTCTGGGTGGCCCTCATAGTGAATCTCACTCGAGAGTTTTGTGGCTGCATAGCTGTCCTGGTCTACGCAAGCCATATCTTCGCAGAAGCTGGCAAAGACCCAAGCACAAGCATCGCTTTATCACCAAACAAACAATCAATTCTACTCGCTGCTGTCCAAATCATTGGGTCGTTTTTGGCTTGTCAGCTTGTTGACAGAGCTGGACGAAAGGTAAGATACTATCTACTGACCAACCTATCCAATATAATAATACGTTATGAAATAAAAAATAGCGCCCAAAAAAGTCGGTTCTAATGACTGCGTTTCTCTGTTTGTGTTGCCACTTAAAAGTAAAAATGTCAAAAACTGCGCAACTATTATTTACACTGTTTTTACTAATTGATAGAATGATTCTTGAGGACCCATCTTCATGTAGGTACCTACCTACCTAGGTATGTTGTTTCTTACTGACTGATCATAAAGATAATGTTGAAGATAGTGGATAAAATCACCTGAGCTTGCTGAGACAAATCTCTTCCCCGAAATCCCCAATCCCGAACCCCAAAAAGGCGGGCAACGCATTGCAATTCTTTGAGGAGTTACCGGTATCAGGTGTGGTGGGCGGTGGACTTGCCAAATCCACCGGCTCGTTTTGTCAAACACGACAATGTAATAAGAAAGAGTTTAAGCATTTAATTACGCTATTTGGCATCTGATCAAACCTCGTGGAAAAATAGATATACGAAACATCATATGTTCTACACGTGAGACGATGACATATCCATTTAGAAACGTCTCGTGAGGCGATCGTTTCATAATAATTAGTTACTAGGCTAGTATATGTGTTCTCTGGAGGTGGTCTATCAAGAAGTCCCGGCGTCCCTTATAGGTGTTGATGGTGGCCACTGGGGAGGTTTAGGTGAAGTTGAAGTTCAGTGTGGGTAAGAGAAAGAGCTATACAAGTTGTCTAGCTCTGTCTCTTACCCACACTGAAGTAAGATTAAAACAGTCTTACTTTGAATGTCATGGTTATCCCCCTTGGTAACAAAAAGGCTAATATGTATAATTATGTGAGAACCTAGTTTTATTAATGGCAGACGATATGGGTCAACTTCTTGCATTAATCTCAAAAAGCATTGACTGGGCAAGGGTTCCTATTAAGGTCGTAAAGACTAGATATTGCTCATTTTAAGATCCGAGTCATAAAATTCTCTTTCGTTAATTATTAGGTAGGTACTTACCTAAACAAGAATTTGTATAATTTTACGACGGCAGAAGAAAGCCAGGCAAAAACCCTTACGGATAAACAAATAGAACAAAAAATCTTCTCTTAATTAGGAAATCTACAATCTCTATTGTGGTCTCATTATTTACCTAAACTCTAGCTCCACTCCATTAAATAGACGTGGAAAACGCCATAAGGAGAATTAATTACAACTTGTTAAGCGTTCATGTAGGTACCTAAGTACAGACGGCAGCAGATCAACCTATCACAAATCGTAATTTTGTCAATGGATTTTAGACTTCATATCAAACCAAATAAAGTTGAAATTGCTGGCTGTCTACACCTGTTGTTATGTCAGTTACTTACGTCTTAAGGTCTTGTAACATATAATTTTATCTAATTAGTGACCATTATTTAGGGATTTCTGTACCATCGTCACCGTGACGTGACTTACGTATGTATAGAGATATTATTTCAAATTGGCTATCGCTATGTCACGATTGACTTTTTTTTTTTATTGTGCTAAAGTTTTCCGTTGGAAATGACGGGGAAAATTGCCCTAATATAAGTAGATAGGTAAATTGACGAGTAGCAAAAATGTTCTTGGAATTTGTACTTAGAGGAGCACGTTTAAAAAGGTTATAAAGGTACACATAAAATACCTTCTTTTCGGGAATAAGGTTAGATCTACTTTTTTTTACATTCGCTTGTGAGATGGTACTAGATAAAAGGCAAGGTCCAATGATATTAGTATGTAAACATTAGTCCAATCGACATTGCTTTCAGAAATCATAAAGAAATTCAGAAATTATAAAAAACAAAAATTATTTTAATTAAAAAAAAAACGTTGCCCCATGCTAGCATTTTCTCCTATATCATAGGTAACTTTACAAACATAGAATTTAACACACCTGGGTGATTCTTCACATCAATTAAAAAAAAATTAATAATGTCATTATCCTCAACCGAAAATTAACGAGTCTGCTGATTAAAACACAGATATTTTTTTTATTAAATTAAATTTCACCACTGCTTACAAGCAACCGATTATAAATATTGTATAAAATAAATTACTAAGATGCTTAAAAACCTGGGAGGATAATGACTTGTTAAATAAAAGTTAAGGTTTTTTGGAGAATCACCCACCTACACATCACACCCAGACCCGGAACAACAATTTGTGGATCACACAAATAGTTGTTCCGTGCGGGAATCGAACCCACGACACTTTACACAGCAGCCAGTTGCCTAGCTACCGCACCAACCTCGCAGACAAATTTGATTCCCTGGTACATGAAAAGATTTTATACTTATTTTTTGTCTCTTTCGTTCCAGCCTCTTCTAGCAGTCACAAGCGCGGTAGCCGGCTTCAGTATGTGTTTGCTAGGAGTCTGGTTCTACCTTCAAAGTATAGAGGTAGCCATGCCAGGATGGGTGCCCATCGTCGCACTATGCGTGTGTATCTTCGCTGATGCTTCTGGTCTGCAACCCTTACCGTTTGTCATCATGACTGAGATGTTTAACTTCCAGGTAAATTGATTTGAGTATTAACTATATAACTTTAATTACTATTTAAGCGCTACTTACTTTATTTGTAATCTGTGTACCAGCTTCTCTAAATTAAAATTTATCAAGCTATACCTAAACAATGTCTCTTGAGTGTCAAGAAAAAGTCAGTAATGGTGGATTGGTTTTTAATTTACTCTTTTGCTTCCAGCTCCGAGGCACCGTGGCAACCCTCATAATGGCAATATCCTTAGGAACGGACTTCGCTCTTCTCAAACTCTTTGCTCCTCTAAACGTATGGATTGGATACCATTCCACTTTCTGGATGTTCAGTGTCATCTGCCTGTCAAACGTCTTCTACCTCATCTTCTGCGTTCCCGAAACGAAAATGAGAAGTCTAGAAGACATTTACGCTGACCTAGAAGGCAGAAAGAGAAGAAAGAAAGACGATAGTGTAGTAGAAACAAATCACGTCTGATTTATTTTCCAAGACTTTTGTGTTACCGCGTAAAAATGGCGCGAATTTTGTTTGTAAGACAAAATGGCCGCTGATTAACTTTATAGTTTGTGACTTTTTAAGGTAGCTATTTTTATTTATATAAATAATTTTAGTATTAAGGCTGGTAGTTACCTAAATTTAGTATTAAGTTTTATAGTTAATGCCATGAAAGACAACTTAAAGTGATAGGTAGTTTGAACACTAAAAATAGAAAACGATAGTGAATAATATATTATTATTTAACACTGTTTGTTGAAAAAAAAACAATATAAAATTCATAGAGATTCTGTAGATATTACACGATTTTAAAAGAATCTCTGTTCAAACGATCAATTCCATATCATTCCATGTTGCCATATAAAATAATAGCTAATAATTACTGGTTACATTGTCTATTTCTAGTCACCGGTTTTCATATCTGCTTAATCCCAAGTGTAGTGTCCGCATAATTTTGGCTCTAATTTTTGATTTACAAACCAACTAAATAGACAATGTTGCCTACAGTAAAATAGTTTGTAGATAATAAATTTTATACAGATTATACATAGCAGATATTTAGGACGAATAGCAAATTAATTCCAATTGTTTTAGTTGTTAAGTTAGTTTCTATTTTTGTTCATGTATCAGAAGCATAGAATTGTATATACTTAGGTAATTTAATTTAGTCTTAAATCTATGGCAAGCTACTAAGTAGTTCAAAATGGCAACTTAATAATAGTGCCAGAAAAACCGATTATTTTTTGTAAAAAATATTTTACAATGAAAGATACCTAAATCGAATTCTATGTTTTTAGGAATACATTTTTGCCACCATTAATATTTTGTATGTGCAGGAATAACATCGGTACAATATTAAAATATTTTGAAGACAAATATAAAATTCTTAAATATTATACATCTATTTCTTTTATTTTTACTTTTTATGCTCTGAAATTCATTATAGTGTGAGAACTTGAGACATAGGCATTGATTTTTTTAATTTAAAACTAATTTTACTAAAAAGGTTTACCCGGCACAGTATTTCATACAGACTTTTACTCAAAGAAAATACCGTATGGCATGATGACTCAACCTGAATTCCTGTTTCCTACCACTATTTGTCATTTAGTGTTTATAAATACTGGGTAAGTCGAGGGTTTCTTTGACCCTGCGGGGTAACTTTGATCCAACCCCAATTATAACCTAGACATTCCGTTCCGACGGGGTGACACGAAAGGGGTATATTATGTTGGCAAATTTTCCTAGTATCTATTCACCCCTCTTCTGTGTCTGCTTACCCTGTTTTTATGTAAGACTAGCTACTCTCACGCGGTTTCACCCGCTACTCGGCTCCATTTGATCGTAGTGTGATGTTTTATAGCCTATAGCGCTCAGAAACATTGTAGCTAGTATCAGTAAAATAATTTTGGCAATCCGACCAGCAGTTTCGAAGATTACTCCCTACAGTACCTATAGATTTTCATTAGTCAGGTAGCTGTATCAAAATTATCATACAGGGCAAAAGTAACCAGATTTTTTTTTTTTTATTCTCAGTTTTAAGTAATAACGTCACCCTGTAACATCAACAAAAATAGTTACTAACTAAAATTACAAAGGGTGTATAAATTACATATCTACTTTAATACAAAAAATGCCAGTTTATATAGGTTTCTTGCCTCTTCTGAAAAAGGCGAAGCCAGGATAGAATTGCACTCTCCAACGTTGAAATTATATGCAAATCCAAATAAGTTAAGTCTTAAAGCCTCGTTCCGGACACATTCCATCAAAACGTGTTGTACGTCTTCGACTACTCCACATTCCTCACAGTTAGGTGATGTAACCTTTTTCATCAGAAAGCTAAACTTTTTTGATGGAATATGGCCGGCACGGAGTCTCAACGCCATAACTAGATCTTTTCGATTTGTCATATTTTGTTCAATCCAATTACACAAAGGGAGTTGTGGTTGGATGGTCTCGTACCATATTCCCTTTTCTATTGATCTCTGGTTAAAATATTCACTCCACATATCTAAACATTGTTGTTTTATTAGTTTGATATAATCAGTAAAAAGTGGAGAAACATTCACGGGAATTCCATCAAAAACGGCCTGGTTAGCTAGTAGATCCACTGTTTCGTTATCTTCTATTTGAACGTGAGAAGGGATCCACTGTAAGACTACTGAAACTGAGTTCTGATCATATCTGAATATAGACTCCAAAATCGTGTAGGCTATCGGCACTCCTCGCACGGACGAGGTGCATCGAGCCAAGTGTTGCAGTGAGCTCTTCGAGTCTGTTAGGATGACAAACTTATCATGGTTAATTGAGTTACAATAAGAAAGAGCCTCTGCTATTGCGATTAACTCGGTATGCATAATGGAGATATCAGAGTCTATGGCAAGCTTGACAGACATGTTCATTTGCGGATCCCAAACAGCAGCCCCACAACCAGATTTAGTTTTAGACCCATCTGTGTAAACCTTGTGAAATTCAGCGAATTCTTCATCTATGAATTGCGTGCAAATTTGTTTTAACTGGTTACAATTGTAATCCCGTTTAGGTTTCGATATAGAGGGAATTTTATTTTTAATGGTTTTAACAACATTGATGTTGCTAACCCATGTCTCAAGGGAAAACATTTCGATCAATTTAGCCGAGTGCACAGTAGCAGTTTTAAGATCGTTATAAATTGAGATCAGTAAGGGTTGCTTCCTATGTCTCCAGTAGTGAGAATTCTGAATGCTTGAAGACAATTCTTCGATCAAATTAATAGCAACACGTAACCAGAAATAACAGTATGAAATTAAATAAAGGGAAAAGGTATTACAGATAAATAAAACAAAAATACCAGTTTTAGAAGATTTACTTATCATAATAAATAACCAGCTTAGTTTACAAAAGCATTTTTTTTACATATTTTCTTTTTCATCGTTTTATTAAAAAATATCGTTTATCTCGAGTGTAACGTACGTTATTGCCAGTTTACGTGTTTTTTTATGATTTTTATTTTATAATTATAAAGAAATATTTTTTTACTTCGTCCATGTTTCAACTTTTCACAGAGTACCCTTAATTTTTGTTACATCGACGATTGACTAACAACACTAATAGGATCGTCAACATAGGAATTTAAATAAAAAAAAAATTAAACCGCCATCTTGCTTTTTGGACACTTATATAAAAAGGACTAGTCGCGTACAACATTATTTAAAACTATACTTTTATACAAAAACCCATCCATTAGGGCGTAACAGGCTGAAAATATTACAAATTTTGTAAAAAAAACACTTACACAGTAATTTTTGAGTATAACTACTTATAATTATAATCTTAAAATTTATCCATACTAAAAAGTAACTTATGTTTTAGTCGCTAAGGTTTCAAATTGCTTGTATTTTTTTAATATTAAACCATTGGTTACGTCATAATGGAAGGATATTCTATACTTGGTGTGCTTAACACATTCAGTGCCCCCGACACGTATGTGCGTGCGAGGAAACGCACTGTGCGTCGGGGGCACTGAATGTGCCTAGTTTAACGCCCATACAAAAAATGGGTAGACAGAACTACATAAGTATAAAGACTTGAGGAGAATTTGTATGAAATAATACAATTATTGCTCAGATACTTTTTTTTAAACCATTCAATCTACATTTTTGGTCGTGATTTTGATTTTAATGACATACTCAAAGTATATATTTATAAAATAGTTTTTTCAAGTCAAAGTTTCAACAAAAACGCAATATGAGACCCCGGGTAGCTTGAAATTAGTCAAATTATCTTGACAAATGATTACATGAGCCTTTAAACAATACCTAAATTTCACGTAGTAAGCTACGTAAAATCGAATTATTAATTTATACAAGGTCGACTTATTAAAATATTACTTTGAGTAAGCCATTTGACATCTGTCAAAACTTACATCTGTCAAACTAATGACATTAACAAATTTTGTGGTCAGCATTTTCTTTTCATAATTTTGAAGATAGTCAAAAATCACAATTGGACAATTCAAAATGATTTTCAAATAAAAACTCAGTCTATTTAAATAGCGATTCAAAATTACAAAAACAAAAGTAATTTTGTCAACCAAATTAAAAAAAATGATATGGGCAAACTCGAACAAACTAATTGCCCAGAACGAAACAATTATGATTATAAGGGCTTGTTTTAGGCAAAGTCAGAATCAATAATATCGATAATCGTTATCGCTTTCAAAACGAAACAAATGTATTTTTTTTTATGTCATAGGTCGGCAATTGACAATACAGATTACCTGATGGTAAGCAATCAGCGCCGTCGGAGACTCAGATACCAAAAGATTAGGTATTTGAGGATTGACGATGGAGGGGGGGGGGGGGAGAATTGGGCCTCCGGTAACTTCACTCAAACGGCGAAACACAACGTAAGTATTTCTTCACATCGGTTGTCGACCCATTCGTGCTGAAGCTTGGCTCTCCCACACTTGTATGGCAATTGACCACGTGACTTTCCGATACCCTTCAGACATCTTTCCACAAAAGTTTCGTTTGTAAGGTGATTGGAAATGTCGATACTGAGCTTTTGGTGAAGTTTCATGATTTCTAATTAGTCTTCAATGTTTCAAAACACGAAATTAGTTATATTACGAAGAAACTTTAGTCAATGCTGTTACAAGCCCTCATTGTAACAATAAAAGTTATATTTTCATAATAACATAACAACTATAATTCAGATTTAATGATATGCCCCTTATTTCATACAAAATGTGATAATATTTAGAATTTCCAACGCGATTTCATTATAAACACGACACGACAGGACATTCAACACGACATAATTACGTACGACAAATATACGCAGTGCTAAATTTGTAAAATTCTCGATTGACTCACTTACTCATTTATTATTATTAAAAATATGTAGTACACACACACACGTATGCTACGCTCGAATAGTGTTGTAATACAAAAATTATTATAAATATCATTTATTGTCATACTGTTCTTAAAAAATATACTAGGCAAAAAAAAACGTATACGTTCAAAAATTCAGGGTAGCTTGGGAAGCCACAGCAAATATCTTAATAGAAATTATTTGTTGCTCGGCATAGCCCCAAGTAAGTTTCATAAAAGAAAAATGCAATTGAAATATGGACATCACTAGTATAAAACAAAGGCGCTTTCTCTATCCCTATATATATGCTTAGATCTTTAAAACTACGCAGTGGATTTTGATGTAGTTTTTATTAATCGATAGGGACAATTAAAGACAATAGTGTATGAGTGTGCTGAAGGCAAATCGCTAGTAAATAAAAATTATTATTTTTTGCATTATAACACCATCCGAACGATACCACATAGATTCTTAAGCCAAGATATATCTAATTGGTGTTCTATACAATTATTGCGACACATCCAAATTATTAAAAACCAATGATTCGAAACTTCGCAAGCGTTTAACGCAACCATCACGTGACGACGTCAATTTCCCGACGGTAATAATAATAATAAAGATGATGATAATTACCAATTATTATTTAATAAAACAAAAAAAAATAACAAAAAATGCGAATACAACAAACAAAGCACTGAGATCGCGACAAAAAAATAAACAATTGCTTTTTTTTTCAACACGCAACATACAGCCAGCTAATGTGACGTGATTCGGCGTAGAGATTGGGCCGTGGTTTGGACGGAATGACTTCTAGTATTTTAAAAACTGATGGGCAATTCTGTAGCAAATCCTGGGTGTAATTACAGTTAGAATCTAAAATGTTTGAGATTAATTAGACTTATTGTGCCCAGCCAATTATTTATACTGTTTACAAGGTACTTTTAAGGGATATTAAAAAATATATTTTCTTTCTCAAGACCATAATGTCTCTCCAATTGTCGAGTCCAAACCTCGACCCAATCAAATAAATTTCATATCTACCTACATTTTGAAAGTTAAACATATTCTTTAGTGATACATAAAAATAATTTATTTCACATCAAAACATACCCATCTAGTTAAAAAACATGTACCAAGCAAGTTTCCAATCTTTTCATTTCTTTAAAAAGACACACGATCATCTTAGATATTAAGAATATCTACACTTTCCTTTATTTTCAACCTTAAGTCAATAAGTATAGAGTTGATATTACAACGTTACTATATAAAAGGGATTAAGATTTATTTCTTAATGTTTAAAGTCTTCTGTTTGGTTGTAAAAAATAATTTATTTTCTATTTTATACTTTATTGTGATGTATTTTTGAGTTTAAAATTGTTTAATTAAATTCAATCTGCTAATCCGCTTAAATCTATTCTCAATTCTATAGCATAAGACTTTTTTAACAAGTACTATAAAATTTTAGGCCGAATATAGAAGTATTGACCTGGCCTTAAACATTTGAACGAAACCTCGAGACATAGGTTTTACGAGAGACTTCCCCCGGTTTCCGAAAGGCCGATCAATGTTAAAATCAATTTAATCTCTTGTCAAGTCATCTGATTGGTTAACTGAATTATCAACAACCAATCAGATGACTTGACAAGAGATTTAACAGGAGATTAATTTTAGCGTTGACAAGCCTTTCAGAAACCGGGTGTTAATAGGCATAGATCACACTTGATAGAAGTTTCATCGCGAAATACAGATGCAAAGAACAATTTATTATTAAAATAATGAGTAACTTCACTATCTTAAAACCAATAGTTTCAAATGATTAATAGTAGAAAAGAAAGCATTGGATACCCCACCTCGCACTAGGATTTTCTCCTGTGTCGTCAGTGCGTTTACAAACATACAATTTCACAAACGCATTACCTACACCCAGAGCCGGAACAACAATTTGTAGAACACACAAAGAGTTGTTCCGTGCGCGAATCGAACCCGCGACACGCAGCATGGCAGCCGGTTGCCCTACCACCGCGTCCACCATGCATATTGTATGTCAAGCGACTGATAATGACAGAAAACCCGTAACTTCACTTCAATTGTTTGATAGTTGAAAATAAATAAGCATTTTGAGGCGCCGGTTTTAAAAACTGATGTATAAAAACAAAACTTAAGACCGCGAACTTTCTAAAAGTGTGATCAGCCGACGGCTACTGAAGTATTAGTAACCAGTCCATATAGAAAATAAGACAACTAGAAATACAATTTCAACAAAAGGATATTTTATTGAGATTTTTAGTAGTCAAATCTAAGAACAGTTAAGTTACTGAAACCGGCCGTAAAATAACCAAATTAATATAACGATTATAATATAGATATAGATAGATTATTTTTACAACCGCACAGATCTAAACACAGCCAAGTGGTAGTACATAATTTGAAAAAACTACATTAATTTAGTTTTTTTTATTCTTATTTCAAAACGATCACGCTTATTATCCATTTAAACTAACTATATTTTAATACCTAACTCCAACCAGCTAGGCCTAAAGATGGGATACTTAGGTATTGGCCTGAAATCGACAAAGGGAACTTAAATTACCATTCTTGCTCAATAGATGGCGCTAACATAATATAAGCTTTGTTTGTTATATGTATTTGGTATTGTTTGTATTATGGAACGATGCAATACGTCAATCAAACTCCCTTATCCCTTATGTGGCACACTAATTTATTTTTTTTAAATAGCCGGGAACCTATATGTTTGACAATCAATAGTTTGACACTAGCAACTTTTATTCTCATTAGCATTACCGCCATCTATCGAGCACCAACGATATATGTTATAAAAATACATTGTAGTTTTTATTGATCTGTTTTTTAATAATTTAACCCTTATACAACAATCATTATAGATTTATTAGCGCATAACAATTTCAATATTATAAATTTCTCTAACGATTAAAATGTACAAGACTTATTACAATACTTATTACAAATGATTATGAATTTTAGTCGATTTAAATTACGTTTAGAAATCGATTATTAGAATCGATTAGTCATAGAATTGACTCTAAAACTGAATTTAGAATATCTTTCCTACTCTAGGTATTATACGCTTAAAATATTGTCATAAATGAGGGATTGTTCTAGTATTTCCGTTCCGAATTTCTTTTAGTCAGTCAGGATACCCAGACAGAGGCATAGTGGAGTCAGTGGTGTCAATACTATACTAATAGAAAGTACATATAACTCGGAAGTTACATTGATGCTTGCCAGGTTCCGAGCCTGAATCCTCGTCGAAGAGGGCGTCTTGACCTGTGGCCACCACGACTTATTAGCAATACTACCTGGGAATATCATGGCATAACATCACCTAATAAGGTCTTAACACTGACCGATTTTCGCCTACATTCAGATACAGGTGATTATAACTGTGCCTCGGTCATTTTCCTTTAAAAATGTATTATAATGAAGAAGGCGACCGTACTTACACAATTACGACCGGTCAGGCGTTACCAAACATCCAAGGCTATAATAGGTTTTCGATTTATTGTGCCGTACGATAAAGGACCTTAACAACTTGTATTTTAACACATTTCTTTATGAAGACTAAAAGGCGTTCACGTCGTTTAAAAACCAATACCTAGAAGCGTGATCGTATATAAAAAGTTTATCTCTTGCTATAGTACTTTGCTTGGTAGCATTCATACAACTTAATCCTTACCAGTCAGGCATCCGTCGATATACTTTCTTGCGTGACAACTGGCTCTACTGACTCTTTCTTCTCTTCTTCTCTTACTTCTTCTACTTTCTCTTTCTCTTCTCTGCTTTCGGAAGGTTTAGAGTCGGTGGAGATTGAGCTTGATGTTAGACTGTTCGGTTGAGATGATTCTTTGCTCTGTGGTTCTTGTGAACTGCGATTTTCTGGCTGTTTTTCTTTTGAATCTGCACAAGGAAATTGTTGTTTTTTTAGTGGATTAAGATCCTTTTAATAAATTCAATAAACGTTAATTATTAAGTTTAAAGCTGTTTCTAAAGATCTGACGTCAACACTAGACTGATTTGTCTAAATAAAAATCTAAATTTTATTATGAAACCTCCTTTATACTACAAAAATATAATTATGACTTTTATCTTAGGGTTGATTTTTTCAATAGTCAGATAAATGTTACCTGAGGAATAAAATTAATGCTGTCACTCTCTAATACAAACACGGTGACGCGACAGCATAATAATTATTCCCCAAGTAACTTTTATCTGTATATTGAAAATTCAGCGCTAAATGTATTTATTACGCTATTTAATGTAACTTATGTACGTCCTATGCATCATACATTTAACTACAAAAAGAAACAACACTACACTGTAGTACAGCCTAATTACATAAGCTATCGAGTTAACCCGATCACTTTCAAGCTAGGCTTGGGACCTATAGACATTATCAGCAATATTGAAGAAATAACACGGCGAATGTCGACTAATGACTATAGGCCCTTAAGCTTAAAACTAATCGATTGACTAAGTTGAGTAACCCAAACTAGAATTAATTTAATAATAATACATTCCTAGATACAATTAAAAACAATACTAACAGTAAAATTAAAATATTTTCAACTTAAAAATTCAACTTAAAATGGGATCTTCTATCCCGTAGCTATTCTTCCGCTAGGCGCCACCAAAATCATTTCTATTGCATTCGAGAGTGCAGCCACGCTTGCAACGATAACTTCGCCCAGAGCAAATCTTTGGTTGAGGAAAAGGTAAAGGGAAAACTTATTTAATGTTAGCTACAACATGATTTAAGAGAAAAGATTTGCCGTAATCTTAAGAGAGATTGGAGATCGTAAACATTTTTGCTGATTTTTAATGGTAAGATAAAAGTTACCTCAGGAATAATTATGATGCTGTCGCGTCAGAATGTTTGTATAAGACAGTGACGGCAACTATTTTATTCCTCAGACAACATTTATCTGACTATTAAAAAACCAGCCCTTAAAGTGTTTACGACTTTTAATTAAATTTTGAAGTTACTTTTATGTGATAGGTCGGCAAACGAGCGCATGAATTACCTGATGGTAAGCAATCACCGCAAGACACCCGCGACTACAGAAGTTACGAGTGATTTGCCGTTCTTTTGGAGATTTAGGGATCGGAGAGTGAATGGAGAGGGGTAGGATTGGGCCTCCGGTAACCTTACTACCACGGCGAAACACAACTCTGTGGTAGTTTCAAGACGGTTTTCTGTGAGGCCGTAGTATCAGTTCGGTGAGCCGACCCATTCGTGCCTAAGCATGACTCTCCCACTCCACTCTTAGTTCTAAGACTTACACCCGATTTCCGAAAGGCCGATCAACGTTAAAATCAATTTAATCTCTTGTCAAGTCATCTGATTGGCTGACTGAATTATCAACAACCAATCAAATGACTTGACAAGAGATTTAACATGAGATTAGGTTAATTTTAGCGTTGACAAGCCTTTCAGAAACTGGGCGTAAGAGAAGAAGAATAAGACTTACCAGCCCCATGTGTCGCCGGCCAGGGTTTCCTCACGAACATATTCTCCACGATCCTGTCTATGTTGTCCTTTTCAGATGAATTCGCTGGCCTACTGGAAAATTAAGACGTATATTTAGGATATACTTATTATTATTATAAAGCTGAAAAGCTTGTTTGTTTGAACGCGCCAATCTCGGGAAGTACTGGTTCGAATTGAAAAAATATTGTTGAGTTTAATAGACCATTTATTGAGGAAGGCATTGGGATATAAAACATCACGCTATGATCTGTAGGAGCCGAGCAGTGGATGAAACCGGGCTAGAGTATCGTGTATACCTCGAACATTTGAACGGAATAGCTTGCCTGCCACGGTCTTTCCGTCCATTTATGATTTAGGTCTTCAAAGCTAGAGTGAATAGGCCCTTAATAAACTAGTGCGCGTTACCATCAACGAATGCATCACTGTTAACCATCAGGTGGTTGCAGTCAAGTAGTAGTTAATAAGATTTCAAAAAAAAGTCTGTCTATCTAGTTTGACTGGTTAAGAGTTCTGTAAGAATCATTAAAAAATACTTTTGAGTACAGGTTATTTTACGGTAGAAAAGAAAGGACTATGGTTATAAGGTTACGGATATCAGTCGAAGCATGGCTCTCCCACACCTCAAACTGCTAGTTAAGAGTAAGATACTGAGGGGGAACGATGAGAAGGTACCGTATTATCCATACTAATATTATAAAGAGGTAAAATTTGTAAGTTTGTATGTTTGTAAGTGTGTAAGTTTTTATGTTTGTAAGTGTGTAAGTTTTTATGTTTGTATGTTTGTAAGTGTGTAAGTTTTATGTTTATAAGTTTGTATGATTGTAAGTTTGTAAGTATTAATGTTTGTAAGTTTTTATGTTTGTAAGTTTGTATGTTTGTAAGTTTGTATATAGGGGGTAATCTTTGGAACCGCTGGTCGGATTGGCAAAATTCTTTCACTGATAGATGGCTACTATGTTCCTGAGTGCTATAGGCTATAAAACATTACGCTACGATTAAATGGAGCCGAGCAGCGGGTGAAACCGCGCGAGAGTAGGTAGTGTATATATAAAGTAGTATGTATAGTTGACTGCACGGTTGGTGCGGTGGCTGGGCAACTGGCTGCCGTGCAACGTGTCGCGGGTTCGATCCCGCACGGAACAACTCTTTGTGTGATCCACAAATTGCGGTTCTGGGTCTGGGTGTCATGTGTAGGTGAAATTGTATGTTTGTAACCGCACCCACGACACAGGAGAATATCCTAATGTGGGGCAATGTTTAAAAAAAATAGTACCTGTCAGCATGGTGGGGGCTGACGATGGGTATGGCGGCGGTGGGGCGGCGCTGGGCGCGCGCCGCGTGCGCCGCTTCCTGCTCCGCGCAGTTGTAGTACGTCACGCCGCCCGTCTACAGACAACAACCAACTTACACTACACTGCCCCCCTTTTTAAGTCGAGGGGAAATCATCGAATGGCCTATCTGATAGGTAGAGCCACTATTACTGACTAAAAGTCTCTGAAGGCCGAGGCCGCGGCACCTTATAACACTTGACCAGCCCTAGAGCAAGTAACACCAGCCTTATCTCCACAAAATCACCCTTCCTTCTTTCTTCTGCTCCGGACCGGGCCGCGGTACAATTGCTTACGGCAAACCTCAAAGAGTTAAGACACCCAATACTGCTGATGTTCAGTTGGGATTGCAAGCGAAATAATAACCGCGTTCCCAACCCGGAACGGAGAAGTGGTTTTAGGTAAAAAAATCGGTTCATAAATAACGGAGATATCGGCGAACAAACATAAAAAAAAGCATATATACTGTCGAATTGAGAACCTCCTCCTTTTTTTGGAAGTCGATTAATAAGAGTTTTTTAAGTAAGTAAGACTTTCAACCCAGCGTATCCCCCCTCTCAAAACAAAACCCGCAACAAAGGCTGGATATCGACCCTAGAGCACCCTGTCTGCGCTGGTCTGATGGCTCTTGCAACTTTAATGAAGACGAAGAAAAATGTTTATTAATTATTAAGCCACCCATTCCAGTAAAGATAATACTTACATAATTATGGTGCGGCGTGTATATTTGGTGCTGGTAGGTGGGGTGAGGCGGGGCGTGGGGCGGGGCGTGCTGTGCGTGGGGCGGGGCGTGGGGAGGGGCGTGAGGCGCGTGGGGCGGGGCGTGCGTGCCCGCCGGGAACATCGCGCCGCCAAACACCGCGCCACTGCTGCTTTGCTGGAAGCAAATTGTTGGAGTTTTTTATACGGCGAATCTTAATAAAAGTGGTAAAAATCTAACCATTTTACATTTATTATCTGTTAATAATTACAATTTATTGTTGCACTTATTTTTTATATATTGTGTATGTATGAATGTATTTAAGTTTTATTTATGTGTCCTCTTTATTTTATCTCTTTCTTGTGTTTAAAAGGTATACATATATAAAGATGTCATAAGCAATAGTCAGTCATCATTGTAATAAGAACCTTTATGAAAAAAGAGAAATCTCATTATAACAATTAGGCTATAGGCCGTCAAATAATAACATTAATGTACCGATTTTATGAAAAAAATATATAGAGTAGGTATAATGAAAATGACGAATACCTGCATATACTGAGCGGGCATCATGGCAGGTGGGGCGTATCCTTGTGCTGGTTGTATTTGACCTGTACAACAGAACCTGCTTTACAAATGACATATAAAAACACAGGGACGCATGGATAATCGTAATGGCCTGGATGTTAAGGCGCAAAAGAACCTGGCAAGTACCAATGCGATGTTTTCAGATTTATATCAACTTCCCAAGGTTATTTAACTACCACTGACAAGCAGTGAAGGAAAACGTCATAAGAAAACTTGCACAAATTCATTTCAATATGAATCTCCAATCCACCTTGAGCAAGCGTGGTGATTAATGCTCATACCTTCTCCGTGATAGATGAGGCCTTTGCTGAGCAGTGGGCACTTATAGACTGATAGTAATAATGATGGTTAACGCCAAAAAGATCTGTGTGAATTATATCAAGTTTTTTCGTGTATTTTCTTTCAGGGCCAAGAGGCCAAGATTTTAGTGTCAAGATTTCGATTCCGGCATGGAACAAGTCTTTGTCTGACCCACAAATTGTTGTACTGGTGATGTGTATACGAAATTGTATGTTTGGAAACGCACCCACAACTCAGGAGAAAATCCGGGTCTGGGTGTAATGTGTATCTAAAATTTTATACGTTTTTATTTTTTTTAAAACAGATTATAAGTATACTGACCCATGGAGTGCGTGGCGGGCAGGTTATGCATGTTGTGGTGTGGGTGTGGGACCGGGGCCAGCTGCGGCTGCTCCATCAGACCCAGCCGCACCTATGGAGACATTATTGTCATATAACCAACTTATAACTGTTAGTATAAATTTGTCGTGTCTACCTCATGTATGAATGTTTTCTTTCTAATACTTTATTACACCGACCATATACTATGCTGTTTTATATCTTTCACTATTTTTCTTGATTCACTATATGATCTAAAGTTTGGCTAGCGAGATTGCTTGTTGTCTTTAAGCCTACTCATGTACTTAAGCATATAAAGTTAATTCAATAAATGTATTGTTATCAACGCAATAAACACTTAAATACTTCAACAACAAAGGACACATTTTTTTGTACAAGTGTTAGGAAATGTAATAACTGACTCAGTCTGCTTGTGACCACGACCTGTGCCACCGGGTCGAAACGTCAAGCCTACCAAGGTATTTAAGTAATTATTCTCCGCGTTAATACCCGCGTAATTATAGGTATGTTGTAAATATGAAAAGCGAAAGTTTAAAAGTTAGCATAACTGAGTTAAAGACGCCACGTTTAATGCTGTGAAATAAATATGACCCGACTTTTCCATGGACAGTAACGTCACATATAAATTGAAATACAAAAAAAAAAAAAAAAAATATAGCTTTACCTACACATTGCATCCCTCCACCTTATTAAAACCTCCGTGTACTTACAATACAGTCTTTTTTTGAAAAATATCTTAGATAACATATCACCTTTATACCAAAAGCAAAGGAAAAACGACCTTCAAGTAAAGCGTTAGGGTACATTACCTGTTGTGCGTGCTGTGTATGCTGAGCGTGCTGCGGCGGGGCCTGCGCCGGCAGACCCAGCGCGGGGGGCGACCCGCGCCCTACCAGTACCTGCTGGGGGGCGGGGAGGGGGGATATACTACACTACCCAAGATAAATATTGCACATCGGCCTTGAAATTTGGTCCATTCGTTTAACGGCCAGTTATATCATCTTCATTTAAGATAAATTAATAAAGCAAAAAGAAGAAATTATCTGTTATCCCTACAGTGGAGACTTTCATCGAAATAATGAAACAATGAATTTATTATTACAAATAGACCCATAACACTTTTACACGTTAAAATCTATACTAATATTATAAAGAGAAAAAATTAAGTAAGTTTGTATGTAGGGGGGTAATCTTTGGAACCGCTGGTCGGATTTCCAAAATTCTATCACTGATAGATAGCTACAATGTTCCTGAGTGCTATAGGCTATAAAACATTACGCTACGATTAAATGGAGCCGAGCAGCGAGTGAAACCGCGCGAGAGTAGCTAGTCCATTATAAATGTCCGAAATACTTTCAGTAAAAAGTCTTTGCTTAAAATCTGCCGATGTGCAATATTTGTTGATAGGCACTGTACATTTTCTGACCAATCTTAAAAAACTATCTGTCGTTAGATTTGGTTACTTTGTCTAAATATTAGTGTTACACTGTTCTCACATAAGAAAACCGACTAAGGGCTGATTTATAAATAGTCAGATAAAAGTTATCTGAAGAATAAAATTGTTGCCGTCACTGTCTTATACAAACATTCTGACGCGATAGCATCATAATTATACCCCAGCTAACTTTTATCTAACCATTGAAAAGTCAGCCCTTAATAATGTATGTAATAAGCAATTTAATTGTGAAGTTGATTTAAAAGGGGTAACTATGGAGTTCCTTGCTTGTTTTTCTCTATAGGATTCAACTCTTTGGAACGAGCAAATAGGTTTTATAGAAGACCGACCGACAAACTGACACTTTTTACCTTATATTTAATTTAAGACGTGCAAAAGTGCTTTGTAAGGGTGAATTGAAATAAATTACTTGACTTTAACGCAAAAGAGTGGATAAAACACGTGATGGTAAGCAATCAGCGCGACCATGGACATTAGATCAATATAATTACAAGTGCTCTGGTCTTCGTTCTATCACGCCTTTTTTTTTAAAAACAGTGCTATCACGGCATTCGGTGACGAAGCATATATCTATATACTATATCTAGCCTTTGATGTATTGACAGATAGGTTTCTAAGAAAGTTCGTTAAGTTTATAGATAGGGAAAGCTGTTTAGACCCAATCCACTTGGTGACTAATTTAAAATAGATTTTATTACATTAGAAATTAAGGAAGGGTTTCTATTAACATGTAGTAGATGCCTAATCCCAGTTATGATTTTTACATTACAATCATTATTTTATTGTGTTCCTTGTCTGTTCTGATATTGCTTTATAACGCAATCCAAATCCAATCCGATTGGTTGATGCATATGCAGCCGGCCAATCACAGCGCAGAACGACACAAACTTGTCGATGGCCTTAACGTATGACAAATTCATATAAGCAAGGGAGATGAAACCACTAAACGATTTGGTTTATACAAAACTCCAACAATTTTATTTACAAAAAAAACATTAAATACAGACTTAATATAACACGATATCGTCTTTCATATTGCAATTAGTTGTATGTCAAAAATAACAAATTTACAGGAGACTAAAAAAAAGACGTACCAGAAAAAAAAATTGTATGGGACCAAAATTAATGTTTTTTAACGAATGTTACCTAAACTGCTGCGCGAATCAAAGCGTATTTAAGTAATTGACATTGAACAAATAACAATGGCAGTTTCTACCAATCAATTTTAGAATTTAAGCTAAACGTTTAAGGATCAAATTTCAATGTTTAAGTTTAAGAGGTGCTCCCAAACCGCTTTATGTTTAAAGGCAAAGCTTTTTATATAATATGATTGGCGTAAAGCATTGTTTGAGTGTATTTACCTGGTGTATCATATGTTGCGGGTGCGCGTTGTGTCCACTGCCACCCACGAACTCGCCCGGACCTGACCACATACCGACACTTATTCACTATATTGTATTAAGCTTATTTTATAACAGTGTATTTGTTTTAGCCATAGAATGTTATACTGTACCACTGATATTTGTGGCAGAAGACATATACTAATTTATTAACACCATGGAGAAGAGAGAACGAACTCTATAAATAATAGTGTCCTAGAAATATGGACAAAATAAGTGAAGCACTTTTTTTGTGAGGGGAAAATCACCCCCCCCCCCTTCCCCCCGTTCCTTCTTCTGCTCTAGGCCGAGGCCGCGGTGACTCATTGCGCTTGCCCCGCAACCCCGGCCGAATATCAGCCTTATAGGGTGCCATCTGAAGTGAGGCGCTGCGACCGCTAGGTTGTCTCAATACAAGCGGGCTATGTGCGCTAACCAATAACCAAAGCCGCGAAGAAAATGTATATAGTATTCAAGTTACTTCATCTACTTGCACTCATTATCACAGATATGACTTACCGTCGGTAACACGGCTGGTGACTGGGATATGAACTATGAATTCTACAAAATTTCAGAGACTAGTGGCTAGTGCTTAAGTACGTAGCGATCGTTCTCTGTCTCTTTAACCTCCATGGTGCATACTATTACAGCCAAAGAGTTCTCACCACTAACATATTTTTTTTTATAAAAAAAAATGTTTTACTAGCATAAAAATTAGATACAATAATTTTGAGAGGCCCTAGCTCCTGAGCTAGTTGAGAACTGTGTTTCGGGAGTCAATAAAACTTAATTATTATTTTACATAGGTAATATCACTTAATTATTAAAAATTGGGATAGGGCGAGAACACAATAAATATCCTTAAAATAAAGGAAATAAAGATGTTATTATAATAAAACATTCCATAGCTAAAACACAACTTACAAAGATTCAATTGTATGCAGTGGTTTAAAGCCACGCGAAATTGGACTTTAACTCAGTGTGAAACAAAGCTGTCATTTTCTTAAGTAAAGACCTAACAAGAATAGCGTGAGCATGCATTTTTATAATATTTACATTAAAAAAACATGATAAAACCATTTTTGTAAAAGAATCTTTATTTCTAATCATCGGAATAAGGGTCAATAAAGACCCTAAATGGATGGATGGAAGGTCTTTATAGAACCTTACTACTACTACTACTACTACTACTAACGGTGTGGGTGGTGTTTAAGTGAGAGAGGACCCCGGATTGCCGGTTAAGGTTTTGAGCGATAGAAAATGCGACGAGCCCTACCGATACCGATTATATTACTGTATAGATTCTCGAATCCCCTAGGCAACAATTGGGTTCGTAACAACAAGCTAAATTACATATTCTTTTTTATTTTTAAAATCTACTTTTCTGTGTTCTTTGTAGGAGATCTTATCGAAGAAATGTATCGTGATATCGAATATTTATTGCATCGAAAAGTCCTCATCAGCATAGTAAAGATATCCACAGCTGAACAAAGGCCACCTTCAGTACTTCACGTCTAACGACAATTTATGCGCCATTGAAAAGTAAATAGAAATAATTCATTCTTGACTTACTCAAGTACCCAATTGAAGCGACAATACGCATAACATTGCGCAAATCATGGCGCAAAGTTGCGCAAAACATTGCATTAACGTATAGGTTTCGCGCAACAATATTTTCTCTACCGATTTGTTGCAAAATAATGTTGCGAGATCAGTTTTGTTTAGACAAAAGGTTAAATTAATTATATGTCAAGGCTTCTCGCTGTTATCAGTAATTAAATAGATACTTAAGCCAGTCTTTAGTAAAAGTTTTCGAAACAAAATCTTTACTAAATAGTCATTTTAAGTAATCATTAAATGCTTCTAAGGTTTTAACGTAATATAAAAAACTGTGCCGAGGTGGACTGTAGTAACCATTGATTTAATATGCCTTACGATAGTATAAAAAACAAAAGACCCATGCTTTTCAAATCTTCAGTAACATTGCGCAAAAGAAAATTTAGTAGAAAAGCCATTATTACACACTACTATCACGTACCTGCATGATATCTATGAGGTTGTTGTTGCGGCTGTTGCTGTTGTTGCGGTTGTTGCTGGGTCTGTGGCTGCGTCTGTTGTTGTTGTTGTTGTTGGGGAGTGTACGAGTCCGCCAGCGGACGCTGACGTAGGCTACTGTAACGTTTGCTGCCACCGCCGCCTGAAGAGATATTCGTGTATTTGTAAACGCAACCATGATACAAGAGAACATTCTAGTTCGAGATGAAAACAAACATAAAAACGTTACATAGGTAGTCTTAAGTTTATAGAAAACTAGCGGTCGCCCGCGGCTCCGCCCACGTAGATGTCGATTTTACATTTTTTCAAGATTTTCTTTAGATTTTCTCTGAATACAAACCTTCTCTGGACTTCCACGAATAATTCAAGAACAAAATTAGCTAAATCGGTAAAGACATTGTTGAATTATAACATTACACCGAAAAGCAGCATTGATTTTTATATACAATAGACAACGACTTCACATGAATAAACTGAGAAATGCTCTACTGGTTTCAAGTCACGACGGGACTCCTAATTCATGAGCAGCGCGCGCGTCGCGGCGACGTTGCGCAGCCTATTAGTACTACTAGAGCTTTTGTTTTGAATAAATTAAGTACGTCTTACAATAGTTACTACTCGAAAATAGCTTCAGTCATCTCTTCTGATACATGAAATATATTAGACACGTATTTTTTCATATTTAGCTATACACCGTGACTTTTTAGTCGTCTTACAAAGGCGTTCATGTATCCAATGACTAGTAAACGTTCATTATAAAAAAATAAAGAGATTTAAATAAATTAAAAATAAAAATATTATTCATTACTGTCATAATAATGCAAGGCAAGGCGTAGTTTTAGAAACACTCTGTAGCAAGCGCGGTCCGTGCCTAAGTTACAGCAAGAGTGACCTTCACCTAATTTCAAGTGAAAGGGGCGGGGCATCGCGTGCGCCGACGTTGTCTAAGGATAGCGTTAGACAATCTGGACAACAGTCCACGTGGACTATGCTAGATTTGTTTGCGATATTTTGTCTCGTAGAAAATGGAGATGGAGGATACTCTACAGTTTGTTAAGTAAAGATTTTTAACAGTGTTTCACATTTTTAATGTTTTATTAATATTTTTCGTATCTATCATCTTAATTAATGATAAAAAAATAATTGCGCCTAGAGCTATTTTATGTCGGATAAATTAAGGTAAAACTTTTGTAAGACGACTAAAATGTCACGGTGTATACAATGTCAAAGTCAATTCAACCATATTATGTTGTTTCAAATGTAACTTACATAGTTACATTTGTACAACATAATAGAATAATATGTCTGTCAGTCTGTTCGTCAGTTACAAAAAGCTAGGTGCTCGTCCCAAAGCGTAGATTGGAATGAATAAGAATTTGTTTTGTTTTAATTCAACACTTTCAACTCGTTGTATCATAATGGAACTGCTCTATATACAAAACATTTTCTTTAACCTCCAACCTTATAAGTAAATTGCAGATCGTAGTATAACAAATATACCACAGCAAGAAGAATAACGATCACAAAAAACGCACTCACCTGCAGCGGATTGTTGTTGTTGGTTGTTGGTGGTCTTCTGTTGTTGCGCGGACTGTGGCGGGGCCGTGGCGGGGGGAGTCTTCGTGCGGGGGGGATTAGGGTGCTGCTGAGGCTGAAATTATATCATAAATATATTGGCTGTATAGGAAATATACGTGAACGTATTTCTTTTTTTTGAAGGGGAGAAATATCAAATGGCTACTCCTGCTCCTGATGGGCGGGAGTGTCACTGTTACTGACTAAAACAATAACTGAATAGCGTTTCAAAGTTTAGTAAAATGATGGTTTTTCCCACTTATTTTTAATACACGTTTGTGTAGTAAATTTGTCTAATATTTAGATAAATTTAACAATTCAGCTACAGATTGTTTAGCAATACAACTTTATGCAACCTATTAGTTTCTTTGCAGAAAATAAATTACACAGAATTTCTACATCATTATAAGCCTATTTCCGTCCACTGCTGGACATAGGCACGTCACTGAGCTCGACGTTCAGTTCTTCTCATCCAACCACTGCCAGCCAACCTATGGATACCGTAAAAAGTCCGGGTATGTTGAACAACATGCGTTTGCATAACAACCGAGTTAGTCAAGCCAGTATAAAAATATATTCCAAACCTGTGCATTAGCGTTAGGTTTCTTCCTTCCCTGGTCAGTCGGTACTGGTCTCTGCTGCGCTACCGTCGCGTTCACCTTGCGCGGGGCCTGACCTTGACTGGAAATTATAACTTGATTTCATATCTGTGCCATTTATAATAGGTCTTTACCTATGAAATTGCCGTTCTGCAGTACTGGCCATTTCAAATCAAAATTGTTTTTGTTAGGCTAAAGCTAATTAATTTTGTTTTAAAAACATGGGATTCTTTTTCTAAAAGTAGTCATTTGTTTATTGATTAGTGTTACATTTTCATCGCATCAAATCAAAAAAATCGTTTAAATTTTACATGCAATACGGCAATTTCATAGGTAAATACCTATTAATACAACTAAAACTGTAAATTGCATAATATAAAAATTAATTGCTAACCCCTTTACTACAAAAGAAGATTAATCGTTTGTCTAGCTTTAAAAAATTGGTGTCAGTTTTTGTTATTAAGTTCAATTCTTAATACAAAATATGGCTCAATGGTTTATACCTACACTAAATAAAAACTTTGTTTTGTAATAAGTATATAAGATAAGCACCCAATATTGTCTTTCATTACAAAGGAAGCTTTGTAATGTTGGAAAAATCCGTCGTAAATATAGGCATAAAAAATGCTCCATCCAGTTAAGTATTGACAGCTTAAAAACCAAAATCGAGAGATATGATTTTCTTCAGTTGAATAGAGCCTCTTTTACTTAACACAGAAACCTCAATCTATCATATCCTAGCCTTAACTTAACTTGTATAAACATGAAAATCATAAAGAGGTAAAATTTGTAACTTTGTATGTAGGGGTAATCTTTGGAACGGCTGGTCGGATTGCCAAAATTCTTTCACTGATAGATAGCTACAATGTTCCTGAGTGCTATAGGCTGTAAAACATCACGCTACGATCAAATGGAGCTGCGCAGCGGGTGAAATTGAGCGAGTGTAGCTAGTATCATATGTAGTAACAAAAAACCTCACTTGTTATTATTATTATTGACGTTAGTAGTAATGGTCAGGTTTTCAATGGCGGGCATTTTCTCCTTGATTGGCGGTTTGTTGGCAGGCTTAGCGGGGATGCGACCAGACCCTTGTTTCACTGCTGGCTTCTTAGTAGACTTGATGGAGGCGTTACGACGAAGCTGACCGCCATTTTCGACCGGCTCGTTGGCTGATGGCTGAGACTTGGAGCGAGGACGTGGGCGTGGTTTACTGAAATAAAGGAAATTTATGAAGTTTCAGATACCTATTATTCTGAATATGATTTTCTTATAATCCAAATCAGTTTTATTGTTTTTTTAAGTGTAGTTTGATCTGAAAGTAAGTGATTGTTATGTGGTTCGTCGTGTGATTGAGGTTGTATGACTACAAAATTGGGTTATACCCACATCATCAAAACTAGAAAAATCTCTTTTATTTATTCCTTATTTTAAGTGACTTGTTTGTATTAAATGAGAGCCCGTTGTAAGTTTCATCTTTAAACTAGCCTTTAAGAACACTAAACTAAAAGATAAAACAAAACCAAACCATCTTTTTCCTTTTTATTTTTCTTCAAATAACAAAGTTCCTTGCTAACATAGCTACTTTTAAAGTGTGGGAGAGCCAAGCTTCGGCACGAATGGGTTGCCTCGACCGAAGTGATACCACGGCCTCACAGAAAACCGGCGTATAACAACCACAGCGTTGTGTTTCGCCGTGTGAGTGAGGTTACCGGGGGCCTAATCTTTACCCTCCCCCGATCCCTTCCCAATCCCTTAATCTCCAAAACCCTAATCCCTAAAAGTCGGTAACGTAGTCGTAACTCCTCCGTTGTGGGTGTCTATGGGCGGCATTGATTGCTTACCATCAGGTTATCCGTCTGATCGTTTGCCGACCTATTACATAAAAGAAAAGCTGCACAATAAAATTTCTTCCTGTGACCTTACTACACAAAAATGAAATTATTATTATTACGTAAATATTGCTTTATTATATATCACATTAGTTTCTTAACTTGAAACTTTGTAACGCCTATGCTGTCGATCATGAATCGCTTTTGCTTACCATCAGGTAACAGGCCTGCTTCTTAACCAACTAAACATAAAAAGGCCTAAAAATTGCCATCTCAAACTCACCCGTGTCTCCTGCCGTCCAGCTCGGGGAAGTCTTCAGCGGTTGGTGGCTTCCTCGGTAATTGTTGTGCAGCGGACTGTCGCCTGTACGCCTCCTCGTCTTCCCAAGTACGCGTGTACTTGTTGGGGCCGCGACTGACGGAGAAATTGAGGATTAGAACGCTAAGTGGTGTGATATAATATGGTAGTAATGTTTGGTATAGACAGATATTTGTAAATGATAATACATAGTAAAAACGGTGTGTTTCTTTGTTCTGTAAACGTTGAAGGAGACCGTACCTGGCGTTTTACTTCTCAGGTAGTCAGGCAAAAAGTGATTAATGGTAGTGACTAATCAAATATAAATATAAGATTTTAGATGTATAGAACATCAGAAAGCAGTTCTTCTATATTCTACGAATGGCTGATTTTTCAATGGTTAGAAATAGTTATCTGGGGAATAATTATGATGCTGTCGCGTCAGAATGTTTGTATAAGACAGTGACAGCAACAATTGTATTCCTCAGATAACATCTATCTGACTATTGAAAAATCAGCCCTAAATATACTAAATAAATCATAATTTGCATGCAAAATTAACAAAATATACTGTTTAGATAAACATGCAAGAAGGTCGTATATCAAAGATAAAAAATACAAAGCATAAGCAATTTTGTATAACATTGAATTTAAAATAACAAAAATAATGTAGTACAAGAAATTTGGTTAGAAATTTGTCCTAAACAAAAAAGATAAAAAATGTAATACAAATAAACACCAAAACATGCAGACAATATTTAAGACTAACCGCCACGAGTGTCGATACCTCCATTTAGCATTGCATGTTAAAACATCCAAATTAATTATATTTCAATTATTACAGGAGCCATTTTAAAGAAAAAAAAAATGAATTCTAAGAGTTCCTTATTTCAACCCCGATATTTTAATAAAACTTCGTATCACAACTATATGCAGTGAGCAGTTATAAGCAGTTACACGTATTTTAGAGTGTGTATAGAAACATCAATTTGTTTCTCTTAACTCAATCTAAATGTTCAATATTCTATATTACTTACAAGTAAAATAAGGTTTAGTATATTTTTACTTGAAAACTCTCCTTAAATATCTAAGTCATTCTGTCAATTGTCCGCCATATACTATCTTTGAGAAACGGTCGCAGACGAAGTGACTTCTCCATAATTATCACTGCTATTTATATAAAACATTAGACCCAAACGACTTTAATCATCGCTAGCGCTATCTGCCAAGCGCAAGAACGCTAAACTGTAAGTTTTGACGTAGATATTATAGTGGATATTCACCCATATCGTCTGTTGCGTCTCGCGTGAGGAGGCGCATCCTCGTTTCGTATATCGTAGCCGTAGATAGCCACCAGCTCGTCACGGGATTTCGGCATCTGTAATGGAATAAAGTATCTTTACTTATAATGTTAGCTATCCTTAGTATGTCCCTCGGCCCGTAATAAATTTGGGAGAGCCAAGCTTGGCACGAATGGGTCGGCTCGAAAGTGAAACCACGGCTTAACAGAAAAATGGATTCAAAAAAACACAGCGTTGTGTTTCGCCGCGTAAGTGAGATTACACTGGAGCTCGGAGGCCCAATCCTTACTCTCCCTAAATCTTCGAAACTTTAATGCATGAAAGGCCACTCCAACTACTATGGTGTTGTGGGTGGGTGCCCATGATCGATGCCGATTGCTTACCATCAGGTAATCCGTAACCTCTTTTGCCGAAAATTCAGGGAAAAAAATGCTCAACCGATTTTGTTTGTTGTGTAAACTTCACTTAAACCGTCTACTTAATAGCCCGAACAAGGCCTTAACATAAATAAAACTGTATAATAGGCTATTTTCTTTATTTTGACCATGCGAGCGAAGCTGGTGGTAAAAGCTACACCCTTATTACAAAAGGGATAAGATTGGAATTGGTCTAACGTTTTCTATAAGCATATTTCAACTCCCTTTGATAATAGTTGTATCTACCGCCAACAGTATGTCAAACTGTAATAAATTTCTAACCTTATGACTTGATAATAAAGTTAAAATTCTACTGACCTGTTCGTTCTCATTGTACTTGTCATGAGACCACTTGTTGACTATCTCAGACTTGCGCGGCGGTCGACGTCGCTCGGTCGGCGGCTCCGTGCCTTCCTTCTTCTCTGAAGCCGCTTCAGAAGTCGTGTTGCTTGATTCTTCACCGCTGTAACAAATATTTTGATGCTAGTTGCAATTTAAGTTCATTTTGTAATACCAATCTTTGCTGCAAGGGAATATAACTTTTAATGTATATTACATTTGAGACCTGTTTCCAAAACATATATATGACGAAGTCACAGACCTCATAATAATAAGTAATGCAACAGTATTTGATGCCTGACTCAAAACGCATCATTTGATACGTTGCCCCACACTAGAATTTTCTCCTGTGTCGTGGGTGCGTTCATAAGCAGAACTTCACGTTCACATCACCTACACCGGGAACAACAATTTGTGGATTACACAGTGTTGTTTCGTGCGGAAATCGAGCCCGCAACACATCGCACATCAGCGTGTTGCAAAGCCGCTGCGCCAACCATGAGTCAAATCTATCAGCCAGTTTTATAAATAAAAACTTTTGAGGAACATCGATCGATTTTTTTTATGAAATAGATCGGCAAACGAGCAGGCGGATTACCTGATGGTAAGCAATCAGCGCCGCGCATGGACACCCGCAACGGAGTTGTTACGAGTGCGTTGCCGACCTCTTAGGGATAAGGGTTTTGGAGATTAAGGGATTGGGGAGGGATCGGGGGAGGGGAAGGACTGGGCCTCCGGTAACCTCACTCACGCGGCGAAACACAACGCTGTGGTTGTTTCACGCCGGTTTTCTGTGAGGCCGTGGTGCCACTCTGGTCGAGCCGACCTATTCGTGTCGAACCTTGGCTCTCCCACACTTTGTTTATGTAAAGAAGTGTTTAATCAATCAATGCAATTCGAGTGATACCCTAATAAAATGTCGTAAACAAAAAATACATACAGAAACGCCACATTAACCAAAATACGTTATTCGAAATAAAAACCTCAGTATTTAGTAACGATACAAAATTACATAAGCGCAGTACAAACGTAGGTGCGCACACGCATTCGTGATTACAGTCAGTCGAGCGGTAATGACCGAACTACTCAGTGATGCGGCAATAGAAAGCTGAAACACTGAATAACAAGCGATACAATATCGGGATTATTGATTTGCGGGCGTATGTTAACGAAATATGATTTATATGCGTGCGATGCGCGTGCGCAGTGAACTTAAGAAGTCGATGTTAGGAATGTTTTATGTAGAAATTTAAGCTGTTTGTAGGTGTCGGAGAGCCATGCTTCGGCACGAATGGGTCAACTCGGACGGAGTAATGATACCAAGGCCTCACAAAAAACTGACATGAAACAACTACAGCGTCTTGTTTCGCGCTATGTGTGAAGTTGCCGGAGGCCCAATTCCTCCAACTTCCCCATCCCTTACCAATCCTCAAATATCCAAAACCCTTATCATCAAAAAGCTGGCAACGCACTCGTAACTCCTTTGGTGTTGCGGTTGTCCATGGGCGGTGCTGATTGCTTAACATCAGATTATCCGTCAGCTCGTTTGCCGATTATCCTTATTAGAATTTCAGGGGTTTATTATCCTACAAAACACCTGAAATTGTCCAAAAAAAGGCCGTAATGCTTCTAATAAACGGAAAACAAAAGTGTCCCTTGAATTCCTATCTCGCTAGAACAACAAAAACTTGTCGTAGGTAAGGGAAATAGTCAGTAAGAGTCTGACAAGTCATTGAATGATTTTCTCTCTTCCAAAACACTCCTATTTTTGGGCAGTCGCGTAAAGTTAGTAAAACTCACCTAGCTGCAGTTCGGTCGTCATGTTCATAAAAGGTTCCCCTCTTGGGGATGTACTGCGGATTGCTTCGGTCTTCGTCATCGTCTACACGACGCTCCGTCTCCTGTAACGATTGATTTTCATTAAGAAATTTTAAATAAAGAATAGAATGAGATGATATGGCGAATGGTTGTTATTCGATTTCAAGGATGGTCTTAAAATCAGACCAATACGATATAGTAGTGTTTTATGCACATTCCCACATTCTTGTATGTATAAGGAAAGTCTGGGTGGGTGGACATTCAAATAAATGAAACAATGTCAATATGGTACAAGTTAATGGCCGCAAAAACATCACAAATACATATAATTTTATAAAGCTGTAGAGTTTGTTCGCACTAACATCCGAAACTACTAATTCGAATTGGACAATTCTTTTTGTTTTAGACAGTCAGTTTATTTAGGAAGACCGTATGCTATAATACATCGCACTACAGGTATAAAGAGCAGCGAATTACACGGAGCATAAGTAAGAAGCATCGTATAAAAATAAAAACGTTATCAATATTGATTTTTAATTCTGGACTTTATGCTTGGCAGATCCCTATGTGAACACTAAGTCAAAAGATTTATTTGCACTTGAGTACAGTTACATAAAAGGTGTTATAATATATCAATGAGTTCAGTATTCAGTCATAAGCTAATGACATGCAAATGTTTGATATCAAGTTTTTTATATCTTATTCATTAATAGGTAACATTATTTTGGAAACTTATATTGCAAAAAATCTTTTATAGAGTAGAAAAGATTCTCAATTAGCCATCCACGTAATGCACTTTCAACACTGAACCTAGAAAGTTATTGCAAACGATATAAATGGTAGTGTTTTCTGCAGATTTAGGATTACCTAAACGTGTCGTCCATATTCCAATGACCATTAGTAGAATCATACGAAACAACTCTTACACATAAACATCTTTTTAAGCATGAATCCATGTATGTTTACAAAACTTTCTACAATCATATCTCCGACGGCATGGTCAGTGAAAAGTGATTGCGGTAATTTGTGCGATCACGTTTATTACTATGAATTGTGTTTTTTATTATTGTCGTTTGTGTATATGAGCATATGAATATTAAGACTCGAAAACCAGGTCTGAATTTGGACATCGATATGATAGAAACAGCCACAGTTCTTTTTTATCCACGGCCAAGCACGCCGATACTGCGGTCTCGTCTCTCTAGAAGAAGAAATAGCGGGGGGGTTTTAGTAAGTAAGAGTCTGACACTCCCTCTCGCTTTAACCTCGGCGAGAGAAGTCATTGGATGAAAAAAGGCACTATGAATTAAAATGTAGCAGTTCCTTCGAAGATGTGTACATTCAATTGTGTTAATTCACAAATCGATTAACTTCATTCTCTAAAGCCAAACAGCTAAACGTGTTTCTCTTACACCAATACGCCATAATTGGCGGATGCTACTTTGGGGTATTGCAAAAACGTCTTTATTGTAACCTATTATTAAGGTTTGTATATAATACAGACTTGACTGGGCATAATTGCTTCACAATGAAGTGTACTGGTCAGAAACGTTTCAATAAGAAATTATATGAAGTACTAAGGGGTGAATCATAATACGATTTCGTTTGTGTTGAGGACTTGTGAAGGATAACGTATTCTGTTTAGTAAGCACACGTTAGAGTGACTTAAAATAAGTAAGTCGTTTTTCTATTATCCTCTTTTAAGATAACTCCTGTGTATTGTGTGTTTACAATACCGAATAAAGTTCCGGAACATTGGAATAGAAGGATCCTTCGACCAGGCGATGTGATAACGTCTGGAGGGAAACAGCATAACAGTTGTACTTTTTTCATGATTATAGGTCGGCAAATGAGTCTCCTTATGGTAAGCAATCGGTGCCGCTCATATACATCCAACGCCGAAGGAGTTACGACTGCATAGCCAGTCGTATGGGGATAAGGGTTCCGAATATTTGAGAATGGGGGAGGAATAGGGGGAGAAGGATTGAGCCTCCGGTAACCTCACTCACGCGGCGAAACATAACGCTATGGTTATATCACGCTAGTTTTCTGTGAGGTCGTGGTCACTCCACTCGGGAGCCGATCCATTCGTGCCAAAGCTTGGCTCTCCCACATATACTGTGGGATTTTCTATCCGTGATAATCTGCACGAACTTCACACTGTGATTTGTGGCGACATATGTGATTTTTATTCTCAATCTACAATATGCTATCATGCCAATACGAAACAATAAATTAGTACATGTCTGCTTTGTGGGGCCAAACACATAATCACATGCACTAATGTTTCTTTTTTTTAAGGCGGACAAATCATCAAATTATTTATATCGCCCAGGGTGAGGCTAGAAGGACCGACAGACTCTAAATGACTTGACCACTTCGTTCCTTCTCATGCTCCAGGTCGAGGACGCGGTACCTCATTGCGCTTGCCCCGGATGAACATCGACCTTGTAGGGCCTCATCTGTGGTGGTCTAATGGGTAATTAAGGCACGCGTGGAAGGCTATGCATCGTACGTTCGGGTCTGATTCTACTCGGGTGGTGAGCTACCCTAACTCGCTGTCCACAGACCTGAGCTTACGGTGGCCGGAGAAAGTCGCTCGACATACGCTAATGTTGAGCTACGAATTTCCAGCTTAAGATCTGCGATTATAAAAATTAAAAGCAACTAATGACTAGTCAACAAATTACTCAAAATGTAAGAATTAAATAATAATTAAGGTTATCAATTAATTAAAATGAATCATTAGGTTCAAATATAACCTAACCTTTGAACGGTTTAAGATAACTGAATGAAGTTAGGAATCATGTCAAGTTCATTGAAGTAAATAATTAAACAAATATTAAAATATTAAAGATCGATTATCTGATGGTAAGCTAGAAGCGCTTCTCAAAAGAAGAAGCTTCTCTCTAGCAAAATAAAAAAGTGCGCTGTCGGCCTTTTATAAAGCAGTACAAAATAAGTGTGGAAGAGCCATACTTAGGCATGAATGGGTCGACTCGATCGGAGTGCTAACACGACCTCACAAGGGCGACCTCCGAAGGGCGGATTGCTTACCATCAGGTAATTCGTAGGCTCTATTCCCGTATATCCTACCACATACAAAAACGATCGAAAATAATTGAATGTTCATTCACTGCAGTTTTGTTGACAGAAAGTATCTCGAAAAAGTAACAAAAAAATGTGATCTGATCCAAGAATATCCAACTCAACACCATTGCAATAAAGTATAAAATCTTTCAAATAAATCAAACGACGTAGGGTACCTTTATATGCCGTTTTTAAAATGAGAACAATAGACTAGTCATTTCTATTTTTGAAGGTTTTCGCAGTTGGCCATATTGGAGTACACGTGGCTACTTTATTAGATAACTAACTTTGGTCCTTATGATATTGGCTTTAGGTTGCAAATCGGACGTAGTACCTAACGCAAAAGCCAATACAATTTTTTCAACACTACCTGATGTGGAATAAGAGTGCAAATCGCTCAACCATAATTAATTGTTTACAAATATTACTAAAGATGCAGTACATATACAACCTAAACTCTTTAAAAATAAGGTTGTAAATCGTACATACGTGAACATTTTTGCGTATTCACAACAAATTTTAATTCGCAACTCATTTGCAACTGTATTCCATTAAAGATAAGGTCGTAAATTGTTGACCGCGAACATAATGACAGATATAATAATAATATTATTATGAACGGTAACAAACCCGTTACTTTCGAATCAAAAGAGGTTTTATTTGTTTTATCTTGTCTCCGATATGTGGGACAAGATAAAATCTGGTTCAGGCTATTATAACTTTGTTTTTTTTTTGTCATAAAGTCGGCAAACGAGAGCGTGCGGATTGCCTGATAGTAAGCAATCAGCGCAGCCCATGGACATTCGTAACAGGTACCAAAGGAGTTAACTACAAGTGCCTTGCCGGCCTTATGTGGGTTAATAAGGATTTAGGGATGGGGGGGGGGGGGGAGGATTGGGCCTCTTGAAACCTCACTCACACGGCGTAAGACCACGTAAGTGTTTCTTCACGTGGGTTTTCTGTACCTTCGGTCGAGTCGACCCATTCGTGCCGATGCTATCCCACATTAAAATAAAGAGTATAATCAACAGCTATAACTAGGGCAAGGGTATGAAATTGATTTCCATAGTAAGAGTCGACCAAAAAACAACACGTTTGGCATACCCTTTTTGATAAAACCGAAACTTTTACACTGTGTTTCCCCGCGAATCGTGGAGGTTCAAGGCAAACCGCTTGTTTGAAGAACGCAGGAAGCCAAAAGCAGCTCTTAATCGGAATTTTGCAGGGTAAGCGCAATTAGGTAGCGCAGCTTCGTCCTGGAGCCGTTTTTTTTATTTGATAGGTCGGCAAACGAGCAAACGGATTACCTGATGGTAAGCAATCAGCGTCACCCATGGACACCCGCTACGACGGAGGAGTTACGAGTGCGTTGTCGACCTTTAGGGATTAGAGATTTGGAGATTTTGAGAAAGGGAACGGATTGGGGTAGGGGAAAGATTGGGCCTCCGGTAACCTCACTCACACGGCGAAACACAACTCTTTGGTTATTACACGCCGGTTTTCTGTGAGGCCCTGGTATCACTCCGGTCGAGCCGACCCTTTCGTGAGGAAGCATTGCTCTTCCACACTTATAGAAATAGGAAATATCCGTAGATAAAATGCTAAGGAGAGAAGGAATCGTTCTTAGTCAAATAAGAGTCCCACTCCCTCTCGCCCCATGATGATTATCAATAATCGTCTCCCAAAAAAAGATATATTTTTCACCCAAATGTATTCCTTACTACAAACACAAACGTCCTTGAATAACATAAAAAAAAAAACTGACTTGACCTGAATGGGCTAAAAAGGCCAAAATACGTTGTTTGACCTTGAAGGACCCTCGGTTCCTTCAAAGGTATAATAGAAATGGTATAACGTACCGCGACAGCTTTAAAGTCTTTATTCGTCTTGTCAACGGAATGTTGCTAAGTTACATAACAAAAATATTACGTTTGTTTTTGTTTGATAATGGGGTAAGCAGAAATGTAGAGTAAGTACATGGAGAACTCCTATCTTATTTATCAGAGAACGATTGTGAAGCAAAATATCGCTGGTTATTTTTTTTATGAACACAACTCTTATAATGTACTCGTATAACTCTTATAATGCACGGTTGGCGCGGTGGCTGGGCAACTGGCTGCCGCGCAACGTGTCGCGGGTTCGATTCCCGCACGGAACAACTCTTTGTGTGATCCACAGATTGTTGTTCCGGGTCTGGGTGTGATGTGCATGTGAAATTGTATGTTTGTAAACGCACCCACGACACAGGAGAAAATCCTAATGTGGGGCAACGTTTTACAAAAAAATAAAAAAAAAACTATAATCTAGTAGAAGTAACATAATACTTTATGATACAAAATAAGACAATTATCTACATTTGTCTATGCTACTAATAGTATTTAAAAAAAAATCGGGTGCTATTTTTCCTTTGTGTTGCGTTACCTTTTATAATGTAAAAATAAAAAGTAAAATTTGTAGGTATAACTCAACAAAGCCCCAATAAATTGCTAAGTGAATGACTTTTCCCGAGCTATATGTATTTTCTATGATTATTTTGACACCACTGGCAAACGGTAAAGAATAACATCATGAGGAAACCTGGACCTACAATTTTGTTTTATAAGTTTGAAAACGCCAACCCGCATTGAGCCAGTATTGTGATTAATGCTCAAACCCATCTCCGTGTGATGTGAAATTGCAAAGTCATGACTAATTATCGTAATTAATCAACCATAAATATCATTATTATTTAACATAATGACACTTAGTTGGGGCAAGCCATATCAAAGTGGTAAACATGAATGAACTTGAAGATAAGCATATATTATTATATACATATTTAATTAAAAACATTTAAAATGCTAAAAACATGAATGATAATCAGTATCTTAACATTAGAAATTCTAACATTTATAAATTCAATTACATAGACTTTTTTATTATTGATACTTGTAGTTTTTTTTTTGATACTTTATGTGAATAAAAGATAGGTTTTTATAAAATGTTGTGTATTAAATTTAAAAGATGATGTGTGACTGTATAACTAACTGTCTTTACGAAACCGAGAACTTCTTAATGTTAAGTTGTTTAAAGTCAAGCATTTTATTATCTACTTTGAATAATCATATGGGAATTATGCTTATGAAATATAAAAATAGGATTTACGGTAACTAGCTTTAACAACTTATTTGATATAAATAAATATTAATAAATAATAATTATAATCGTAACAAGTCATTGTCTATGAAGATATCCAAGAAAACTAAACTAACAAGGCCTTCTTTACAATGGGAACGCAAACCATTTTTTCTTTGTAATGTAAACATCAACAGCAAAAATCTGAAAAAAACTTTCAATTAGACCTACTACAAAAACTACCTTAGTAAGGTAATTTTATTTATAGAAAATATCTCTATTTACACCTTCACAGTTGAATGCACATTGTTTTGAAGATTAGCTCCCTACAACATATTCTGTGATGACTTAAAAGTGCTAAGTTCTAAGTCACAATGGTGACCCAGTCTCGCATGCATTGTTTTTAATCTGTGACATAAGGTGTGGTTTCACTACAACTGTTTTAATTATAATAACATGACATAAAGTCATTGTAATTCACAAAGAGGAACCAGTTGTACTCTGTTTAGTAGTTTTTCTCTTCGATACATAGTATAAAACAGAATTGTTTACTCTGTCTCTATGTATGCTTAAATCTTTTAAACTGTGAAACGGATTTTGATATGGTATTTTTAATAGATGTAGTGGTTGAAGAGGTTTCCTTGTATAATAACATCCATTAAATAGTGGAGAAACTTGGTAACAGCATTGCGCCCATGTAAAGCTAGGGTGAGACGCTAGTAATAACTATTATGGACACAAAATGAAAAAAAATTTTTATGCCATTTTCTGCCAGTAAATGTCTGGGTGAAGTATAAATAAGTAGAAATATGTTTGGTAAAGATACAGGAAAGAGATAAATACTAAAAAAGTATAAGTATTATAAGAGCATAAATATATCGGGATGTATAAATAATAATATTAGATAATTTTAAATTAAGTAAATAAATATTACATTTGAAAGTTATTTTAATAGGCAAGATTAAATATCAACACTTTGAAGCCTTCATATTTATAAGATTTGTAGCAAGTAGGGTGTTTCAGGAGACAATATCAAACATATTATCTTTTTAATACTATTACTAAGAGTTTTAGTAACTCCATCAAACTTGCTGTGATTAGTTGACCAGCACACAGTAATTGTAGTAATATTGTAATTTGTATAATTTTAAAGCTATAATTATTAACAATTGAAAATTGTTTTTCATATTTGGTTTAGAATAGCAAGAAGTGAAATGTTTTTTTGAAGTTGTGTTGTTTATTTTGTTTATAGATATGTAATAATATATAGATATACACTATCTTTTCTAACCTACATGAGTCATAATGTTATGATATGAAAATTGATTATAATTAACATCTTATCCTAAAACTATTTAGTTTTATTTCCATACTGAATTCATATTCATGACTTTGAAATAGAAGCATTTTAATTATTGATTTTATTTAAACAACAAATTATTATTCAATTAAAATTTAAGTTAAGTCAGGTGTGTAAACAAAACATATTTTTAATAGTTAATGTTAAACTTAATTGTTTGTTCTATGGCTTATGAATGAAATACTAACTTAGAAAACTTTAAATAAATACCATAAATATAATACCAGATGACATAAAACCTCTTTTTTACCTAAGGACTGTGCAGAGGTGGAAATATTGAAAGTGACACTAATTTTTCACCATGACATGACATGTTATGAACCCTATGAATCATAGTGTGAGCCTTTTATCACAAATAATCAAACCGAAACAACTCTAACAGCTTCATAAAATATTCATTGGTTATACAATTTGCAATACCCGATACACATGAGACAGTTTCACAGCCAATTAGCGAATCAGAAACAGGTCACTAGGTTAAAGTACACAAGTCAATCAAGAAGGACTTGTGTCCCTTGCTGTATTTACAAACAAATTTATTAAGTTTTCTATATTTGTTTTAAAAGTGAATAGTTTGTGTAAGTAGGTGTGTGTATGATGATGTATATGACAGTACCTTGTTCTCAGAGTCCTGGTCGGAGTGCTCAGAGTCGCTCCCCTGGGAGTCATAGTCCGACTCATGTTGCCCACCATCCTGCAAACATCCCTCCACTTTTAACAACTGCATTTTCAACACAAAACAGTCTTGTTTACAACCTACGTGGCGGCAACGTTTCTAAAATTAAAGTCTAAACACATCAGCGGCGTTTCAGTGAGTGGTGCCCAATTCGTGACCTCAATATAAACTAAAAGAAATGGACATTCCGTCACGCGAACGACCGAGAGAAAGTAAGCTGTAATACTTTTTAGCGCCAAAACGAAAGTTTACGCTTCTGCGACTAGACCCTTTACTTACGTTCGCAGAGATATTGTGCTCGATATCCTGCGATGCGTCCGAATATTCTCCGGAATCTTCATGTTCTTGTCTCCTAGCCACGGACGTCATATCGGCGTCCTCTCTCGTAACCTGCAGGACTTCCAGTTTGACGGCTTTGTTGTATCTATAACGGATAAAATGCAGCGTAATCGCGCTCGTTGTACCGTCGTTAATAAGAAATCCCCTCTCGTTTTACGAAAAATGAAATGAAAGAACGTCAAAACAAGGGGAATCTAGCGGCCATAAAAAAGCAACGTTTAGTTCAATTACGAGTTCATCACTGGTAACCCATAACCTTTAAAAATTTTAATAAAGATTAAATTATTACTTAGTTCCTAGAGTAAATGGTTGGCGAATATTTCAAATAATGATTTATCGATATTTCAGAAGGTTCACAATGGTCAATTATTTATCAGAATTAAATTCTAGATTTTTTAGTTGCAGCAAAACGTATCATAAAGATTGGCAACATTGTTAAGAACTGTCATTTAAACCGGTATTCTCGACAGCATTACAATGTCGAAACCCTGCTAATTTTGTTATTTTATTTTAGCGAAACGTTAGTAAATATTATTTAATTGAGAATCCTATCAATAAATTATGAAGATATTGTATCATAAAATATTTTTATTTGTAAATTTTCCTCCTGATTGTCTTTATTTTAGGGAAGAGAATTTCATCGCAGAATTTTGGTAGGTACTTTGATAGCTTGTATCCAGGCCATAAACTCAAAAAAAAAAATAGGTAATTTGACTTTTGGGTAAATGTCAAACAAAAGTCAGCAGGTCATTACTTTATGTCAAAAAAACAAATTTTCAGGAAATGTTGAAAACTTTCACTTTTTCTTATTAATACAATCAGAAAAAAAAAAACAAAACTTATAAATACCACAAGTGAAATTAAATATTAATCATTAAAATGGAAGAAAGGTAATAATAAACGGAATTCTATTGAAATATGTGTATTTGTTTTGATCATGATCATAATATTTTATTGTTAAAACTTTTTAGCGCCACTGCTGAAGAAGCTAAGACTGTGCAGCTATTAGCCAAAGGTATAATGGAGATGTATGAACCACCACTGACGACCATAAACACTCATTTAAAGGAACTAACGTGAGTGAAACTTGATCATAAAATCTTGTTCTGAAGTATTGTAAAAGAGTGCAATTATTTTGAAAAAATATTACTTATCATATTTATATAATGTCTTCCCAGTGTTCATAAACTATGTTAGACTAAATGATATGAATCTGGCATGAAAACCCCTTGATTCTCCACTGTTTACTAAATTCATTACTTTTCATGCATTTTTGACTTCAGAGTTTTTAACTTCCCAAACTGTAAAATATAAGTAGGTAGATTGAGTAAATTTTTCGTGACTTGCTTACACTAAAAAAAGGTTCAATATGTTTTGTTTCAGGGAAAAGCAAGAGGCCGTACAAGGTATGCTCACATCAGAAAAAAGAAGGCTTGAAGATTTACAAAATGATGTCATGCTTGATGCATTGGTATGTAATAACTATAAAAATCACAGCCAAATGTAAAAAAAATTGTAGGTGAATAGTCCAGTCATCTTAGCCAAAATAAGGGGAAAAGCTCAGAATTTGAGATACCAAGCTGTATAATTTTAAAATATAATAATATAATCATCATATAATTTTCGGTTTACATGGACTATTAATGATATATGGCAACTTTCAATATTGTTTGATACAATATGGGAATTGCAGGTCAAGCGCAATAATGAACTGCAATTCTGGCCTAGATCAGGACAAGTAACAGGGTAGCTTTTAGTCAGTAAGAGTCCGATATTCCCTCATGCCCCACCCAGGGTGGAAGTCATTTGATGCCATGTAGGCTATATTAGTACTTAGCCTCCATGGAGAACCTTCATTTAGTTTTTTTCTATCACTAGATCATAAAAAGTTAAAAAAAATTACAAGATTTTATTTTTATTATTCTTAATTGTGAATTCTACTATGTAATGTGTTACTCATTACTTTAATTTATTTGTTAACAGCTAGCAGACATAGCGACGAACAGAGAGAAACTTGTCACAATATCTAATTCTATGATGTCATTGCATAAAAGAGTACAGTCATTACAGGTAAGCATATTATTTGTCTGATTATGGCTAGATCAAGTTAAAACTAGGTCATTTTAAAACAGGAGTATTCATGAGCAGTGTGAAATGCAACATTGCATAATTATTTATATTTCTTACAATAGTTATTTTTTCAGTCAAAGCACTGATTTTTTATTTTGTGCCCAGACTATTGGCTTCACTCTGAATTTTGGAAATCCGACCAACAGTTCCAGAATTTACCCACCACATTCAAGCTTACTAAATTTATCTCTTCATGATATCAGTATACATTACAATGACATTGCTGTTGAAAACCGAGTGCTTGTGTTTGCTTTTGCCCACCCTTATAAGATTTAAACGAAGTGTCAATAAATCAATCAGGCTTCAGAATCCAATCTGAAGCTTTTAACAGGTGCTACGCACCAGGTGGCGCTGTTATAAATTTCTCGTCCTAGGGGATAATGTCACACTATTGGTCGATAAAGTTTTATAGCTACAGTGATTGGGCAAATTTTACTTTTTTTAGGTTAACGCCATCTGTTCACCAAAAAACAGTAGCTCCCATTAACTACTATAAGGCTCATGCCCATTACTGAACTTGTCCAGTGCCATTGGCGAAATAGGCGGCCAGCAGCCCCGGGCGTCACGTATCCCCCTCTCGCGCTGCACGGTGGATCTGTTTAGCACCACAATGCAGAGTGCGCGTTAACAATAACTATGAACTTTATAATTCTAATAGATTATGTCTGTTTTCCAGACCAGAGCAGCAAATGTTGAAAAGGCAGCTAAAACGAAGGCGGCTAACAAACCGGCAGCTTCAAGCAGTTAGTGCCTCTAACATAAGTGATGGGAAAGAACTGAATGTATCTTATTGTTTTTCATAGGCGATGGTGAGTCTGACAACCTCTGCATCTATATATATATATATATAAATGAATCGCAAAATGTTTCGGTAAGCGCATAACGCAACAACTTCGGAACCAATATTGCCAATTCTCTTTTGTTGTATTTATTATTGTCTGGAGAAGGTTCTTATCAAAGAAAATATTAGAGTAATTAGGATAAAGTGACCCTTTCGTTGTCATCGAGATAGTTGCAAACCCCTTGCAAAGTGGGAGCATGCCGCTAGTTTATAATAAACGTCAATTTTAAATGAAAACTTAAGATTCTAGAAGTGTTAACTAGTTATATATAATATAATATCTTTATAATGTTTATTCTTAAAAATATAAAAAAAACCTTTCTTATACTTATTGCCTTTGTTTTTCTTCATCAGTACACTGCTGAGTAATAGGTATCGACGATTTAATAGTTAGCATAGGATACTTAAATGTCGTTATGGCGCTGAGGTTAAGGAGCCCGCTTCTCATGCATGAGTGCGTGAGTTTGAAACCTGGCAAGTACCAATGTGAGTTTTTCCGAGTTATATGTACTATGATTATTTAGACACCATTGACATATGGTGAAGGTAAACATCGTGAGGAAACCGAGACTTGTAATTTATAATTATACTTTGAAATCGCCAATCGCCGCTAAATGTGGATGGATGGAGAGGGAGGGGGAGACCAAAGAAAATATGGATGGATTGTGTGATAAGTGATATGGAAGACAGAGGAGTCAGCGATAGCGTGACGAGTAAGAGGACAGAATGGAAGAAAAAAAACATATTGCACCGACCCCAAATAAAACGGGACAAGGGCAGGAAGATGATGATGACTTTGAAATCGCCAACCCGCATTGAGCAAGCATGGTGATTAATGCTCTAACCTTCTCCGTTCTTTAGGCCTGTGCTCAGCAGTGGACACTTATAGGCTGATGATGATAGGATACACACACATACATTTGTCCACCCCTTCAACATTAAACGCAATAATTATACATACTCCTACAAAAAACTGATGTCCCGTGGATTTGTGAGTGCAGCTTTTCTCATGTAGTTTTTTATATTTGAAGTATGTAAGTATATGTGTTGTTTGTTGTTCTTGATGTACATGGTTTTAATTATTATTGTTATCTAGACTTAGGCCAGGATCGATGTGAAGTGTATGTTAAAAAAACCGCTTTTTTGAATCCAATGAAACTATAATTTTATTTTTGTTAATTGATCATTCAAATTCACTTTGTAACATTATGTTTATAAATCTGAAATGTTGATGCAGCGCCAAATGACTCCCATGATTCGAGGGAGTGTCAGACTCTTACTGACTAAATCACCCGTTTTTCTCCAACTTCGGGCAGAGATCGTGGTACATTCCGTTTGCAGCTAGGGGTTTATAGGTAGTAAGAGATTCCCTCTCGCAACTTTGGGCGAGAAAAATCATTTGATGGCTTTGGCCTCACAAACAATTTCTACCGGTTCATGGCAGGAGTGGGACAATCCCAACGCAAGTGTTTGGTGAACCATGTGTGGTTTTTTTTATCAATTAAAATATGTAAATGTAAGAGACTAAATAAAGGCTTTTTTTACTCGAATGCTATTTCTCTCACTCACACAAGATCAAAGTGTGATGTTTTATAGCCTAAGTCTAGTCTAACTTTCCTTGATAAATGGATTATACAAAAATTAATTTTTGCTTTTTTCAAAAACCCAGCCATTTCGAAGCGCATTCAAACAATATAGATAGAAATATACAATATAGATTTACAAAGGTTTCACATCGATCTGGGCCTTTTTTTAATTAATTTTCTTGGTCTATCAAATGCATAATATGTTTTTTAATTGTTATTTAGAATTCTTAGGTTAGTTCTCCATAGACTGGAGTTAGTTTTCGCTGTACTTAGTTATATATATGGTTACTTATCCTAGTCTCAACAGAGCTATTGACCGAATTATGTACCGCGGCCTTGGCCTTTAGCAGGAGAAGGAACGGGGTGGATTTTAGTCAGACAGAGTCTGATACACCCTCTCGCCCTACCCTGGGCTATTCCATTAATTGCCCCCTCAATAAAAAATCCTGGTAAATGTTTTCGGAACAAATTATGTACTAAGAAATAGTTTGAGTAATCATTAAATATCTCTGAGTATGGCACGGTATGACATAAAAAATTACTTAGTTCGTTATGATGTTGAAAAAATAATAAATGAAAGTCATATTGAAATTTTATTTATTTTAAACTTAAATTACAATAAATCGTAAGTACTATTAAATAATAAATATTATATTTTATACTTAAATATATTGATAACAATTCTATTTACTTGTTACAAGGCTAGAGCCACTCGGCAACTGGTACTAGTTTAAAGAACAAAATGTAGATGGCGGTGCTTACGCTTGGCCCATTTTACATAAAAAATGTTTTTATTAACAATGTTGTAGGTTACATTAAAGAGTATACATTTATTTTACTGTAAATTTTTTTACTAAACAGACCACGTTGTTTCACATTTCTCTTTAATTGAAATACACCATACATTTTGTGAGACAGACTATGTACAAGTTTCAGAAAGATCTTAAGGTTGGGTCACAGAAATATAACAATTAAGTGGCAGGCATAAAGTCACATTTTGTGAAACAACATGGTCTCTTCAGCTTTAAAGTCTGTCATATTATAATGTTAGCCATTCTGGTGCACTGTAAACGATTACAAACATTTTCTTACTTTGTAATTTTCTTTGTTCCTAAAAACTAATATTCCTAAAGTGTGGATATAAGAGAAACACATTTTGGATTGTCTTTTCTTTTCCATTATAAAAGCTATTTATTTAATAGATTCATTCATTATCAGTAGACCCATTTTGTAACACCATTTATAAAGTGTAAAGATAAAATATTTATGGATTTGTTAAATTAGTTACAAACTACTAAGCATTCTAATACTTTTTAAACGAAATGAAATGAAAAATGAAACTAAAAACTCAAAGAAGTTTCTCCTATATCCACGCTTTAAAAATAAAAATAAAGTAAATAATTATAAAAACAGCTATTTACTCTTTAATCGCTACTCTAACAGTTATTGTCTATAAGCATATATTGAGATGTTGAACTTATTCTAAAGTTTAAATGTGCCTAAGACTAGTTAGATTTCATTAAGTAACTTAATTAAGTGTCCACTTTAAAATGGCAGTAAAAATTCACAAAAATTGAACTACTGTACAATAAATATGAATATAATAATATAAAAATAAAAGCATTTTTTTTATTCCTTTTTTCGTTTTAATTTTTTGTGCTGATATTAATAAGTGCAAGTCATTACCTGACATCACTCAGCCCCATATTTGGGATGGGCATTTTGACAATTGAATGTTACCCGAGCAAAATATAATTTTGCTACCATTTCCATCGTATTTTTATATGTTTTTTTTTACAATCGATATGTTAATACAATAGTGACAACGCCTATAGTCGTAATATTTAAGATTAATTATATAAAAAAATATAATATTAATCTCTTAATACCTAATCGGTCGGAGATCGTACACTAAATAATTTAATCGCGGTCTTAAATAAGGATTTTTGGTACTAGATTTTGATTAGCGAAAATAATTGAATTACAATCTTATTCTAAACTCTGAAAATACTGGTTTCGTACACCGTTTGTTTAAAACCTGACTATTTCTGAACTACAAAAACGCAATCAATAATCTACCAATTCTCATCCAAAAACTACCTTCGCTGACCAAAATTCTTAGTACCATTTAGTAATAAGATACCCCATTTAGTATTCACTAATCGTGTGGTTACACAAACCGGGGTTACCAGATGGGTCGGATGTTATTTGCGCAGGTAAGCCTCTGTGACGTCACTCAAGACAGTCACAACGAACGACTCGATGCCGGATTCGTTTTCACCTCTCGCGATGCGGAAGTAACCATCTTCGCCCCAAGCTGTGCCCCAACTGTTGGCGACAATCTGTAGAAAAAATGGGTAATTTAATAAAAAAAAAATAATTGATAATCTTATGTTATGTTGCGACGACCTGAATTAAAGAGTTATAAAAAAATATCTAAGGAAATAAATACGTTGAAACTACCATTTTTAATAATTGGTAGTAATTTTTGAGCACAGGCAACACTGCGATTTCTACCGATTCAGTAAAGTACCTCAAATCTATTTATTTATACAAATTACGTTTAGGGAAAGTACCTTATTAAGTTCTTTGTGTATTTACCATATTAAATTCTGGCATAGATACCATTTGTTATTAATACAGACTACTTACTGTTGGGTGGGAAAAGCACCGGGTTGCCTAACATAAAACAAGGTAATTCATCGACTCTATTCAAAGAATCGACTATATCTAAAACCTTTTCAATCAAGTATCTAATATTACCGATTTAATAGGTACTGCAAATCCCTTATTGGCTTTCAGAGATAACAATCGCTTTACATCCATCATTCTAATCAAAAGTAACTCTTATTTAGAAGTCATTATAGTTTATTATTACATACCCAGTATTTGTCTCCGTTTTCCTCGCCCCAGCCGACGATTCTGACGCTGTGAAGCCCCTTCAGCTCGTTGTTACCGAAGTGAGAGCGGCGGTACACACCGTCCTGGTAGTGGAAGAAGTCTTGGTAGACGGTCATGACAGCTGGAAGAAAGAAAATTGCACTTTAATGTAACGTGCTTAAAGGTTGAGTTTCTTTGTTTTATGGTTAACAGTCTTAAATTGACTGAAGATAAGTCATAAGTCTGCTAAATATAGGTAGCTATCTACACTTTTTAAGGCCAATAACTTGTGCAATAATCTACACATTTATTCGGTATACAGGTAAAATTTTTTTCAGGAACTTCTGAGCCGACCACTACTTACAAAAATAGGCTTTATCTATAGCAAATCTATAATTTAATGTACATAACAGTAGCTTTATACTGAGACGATTCTTTTTTTCTTATGCATAGAACCAAATATATAATTGTGCAATTTTTATTTGAGTAAAATAAGAAAGGGAGTGGTTTTTAGAAGGTAATATAAGTATAATAATATGAATCTTTTAGAAGTAAAACTTGGTGTTAAAAGTTATAAGGTGTCTAGGTACCTTAATAAACAATCTATGTCAGTAGTTATCTACCTAAGTTTGTTTTCAAAACAACACGCTCTAGGTATTATTTTTGCATATTTTGAGTGCCAAAATTATCTTATCAACCGTCAATACAAAAAACAATTCAGATAACATTTTGCTAGATGCAAACACAAAGAATTTCATCAAAATTCCACGGCGTAAATACCTACCTAGTGATAGGAATAAACTCCTACTAAGCGAGGGCGGGCAACACTAGTCGCCAATTATAACCCCTCTCTAGATCAAAGCTGTCATAGATATGCCTGAAACTGATTCACTGATTGTTTATCGATTTTTGTGTTCATCACTACACTGTTATATGTGGTATCATTATTTCACAAAATGACAGTGGTCAATGTCAAATCAGGAATCGAATTAAAATTCTTACTATAAATCGAGGCGATCACCTAATGTAAAACAACCCTGTATTATATAGGAATTTAAAACCACAGGAATTTTTTCTCACGCACTCACTCACACACCTACCTACTTACCAGGAAAAATAAAATCCATTTTTTATTTATTTTAATATATCATCATCAAAAAAATCTAAGTTATGTACTTATTTGTGTACTTAGCAAGAATTTACTAAGAAATTTAAATGTCAAAAATCGTTTGAATTCATTGAATTCACTGTCTATTTATCATAAGTACCTAATCTTATCTTGACTTGTAGGTAAAACTTGAATCAATTTCCCAGGCACATACCAAGACATCTTGTTTATATTATCATGACATCATATCGGTAGGCAGAAGTCTGACGAAAATGTTCAAAGAAAAAGTAGTCTATGGTCTAGGTTTAGGTGGTTAGCTAATGACAAACAATTGGTAGGTATCTCTTTTTACTAAAGAGGTCGTATATGTAAAATAGATAAGTACAAAGAATATTTCAATTTAGTTTATTAGCTAACATCGATTAAGGTAAATCGTACCTGGGTTGTAAACATTTTTACTTAAAATTTTAGGACAACTTTTAGATACAATGGCATTCCAAAATATTTTTTTAAAAAAACCGTGTAGGTTATTACCTATGCCGTTAGACATAGGACAAACCGATAGACCTATACATAGTACGAATCGTAATATCTACCCAAATATGCAGCTTAAATCCTTGGAGATAAAGGATACTTTCGTACGAAAATCTGAGGACTTAGAATTTCAAATACCTATCTAAGTTTGAAAATACGTCTTGAGCTAGCATGGTACCTAATTAAAGGTAATGATAATGAAACTTTTAAATTATAAGCTTGTAACTGAACAAATATTTTCAAATTAACGTCAAAACAATAGGTATAAAATTCTTCATACACATATCTACTTATTTATACAACACTTGGAGTTCATCAAGGTTGAAAAATAGGTACCTACCTAATATGAACGTGGCGCCCTCATTCATAAAGATAAAAACAACCAAATACCTTAATTCAACAAAAACAGACGGTTACTCATAAAGCAGCTACTGTTAAATGAAGTACAGTCTACCGCAAGTCAACCTACATTAAAATTTATTTTGATCAATGTATCGTCCTTAACTCAACATATTAAAGTGCAAAATCGAATAAAGAAATTTGACTGAAAAGAGTATCTTGCAAGTTTTTCTACGCAATCTCTTTAAACCCGTGCATTGCCGTGATTTTCTTATCGCCACCATACAAGGACCCGTTCATAATATTTGTATAGATATCAACCAAGGTTAGATAAAAATAGTTGATTTTGGATGGAGCGATTGAATTTTTTTAAGGTTATCTCATGTTAATAATATCCTATGGGTGAATGTAGGTAAAGTTAGCAGGCAAATATATATTTGGAATGAGGAAAAAAAATTGATTCAGTATAAAGACAGTAGCTATTGAGCAATGTTGGATTATTGGCTATAGAATCGCCACAATGGTTTTTAAGGAGTTTTGGAGATTGTGGAAGGATTGGGCTTCCGCTAATTTCAATCACACGGCTTTGCACAACGCCGTTTTACGCCATTTTGTGTGAGGTTGAGGCGTTTATACTCAAGCCCGCCTATTCGTTACACTTCCAAGTCAAAATTTGAATCCCATCTTCTAATAAAATCTCAAATTTATTTAATCAATCGGCTCAGTTGCCAAACATCGGACTATCTCTGTACTTATCTATTATTTTCACACCTGTGTAAGTACCAAATAATGTATTTTTATTATAACTTTCGTAAGACATTCTAAATTATTTATTATGTTTTCGGCTTACTCACGTAATAATTTGACGAGATACTCGACTAGTTTCAAGCCATGCTAGAGGCCCATATTCATGAGACAGTCGCCGAGTCGCGTGTCGCGGAATGCTGCTCATGAATATGGGCCTCTAGCATGGCTTGAAACTAGTCGAGTAAGCCGAAAACATAATAAACCAAATAATGTGCTGATTATACTTTCCACATACCTTATACTCATCGCGTTATACTTATCATGCTAGAAGTATACAAATTGCAATCAAAAATCAAACTGCACTAGCCAAAAATCTCCTTTCTTTCTTTAAAAAAACTTTGCACCTCGTAAGTTTTTCTCCTGTGTTGTGAGTGCGTTTACAAACATACAATTTCACTTACACATCACAGCTCGACCCAGAACAACAATTTGTTGATCACACAAAGAGTTGTTTCGTTTGGAAATCGAACGACACGTTGCGCAGAAGCCGGTTGCCCAGCCACCGCGCCAACAGTGCAGTCAAAAAAGGTACTTAAGCCAAAATACTAACCTTGCACAGGACCTGACTGCATAATATCAAACATGATATCGTGTTCCTTCACCAGTCTGCCGGGAGGGCCGACCTTGTATCTGGAAGTGCGTTGAGGTACCACGGGAGTGCAGCGGTCGGTGAGGAGGTTACCACGCTTCTTGAATGGGCAGTGAGTGAATTTGGCTTGGTAGGGGAAGCAGTCTTCGTCAACTAGACTGGAGGGGAGCAAAATAATTAAATTGTTAAGATTCATTTAAGTCTTACTAACTAATCGATGAAAAGCCAAAAATATTTTACAATTAGTAGATAAAAGGCCAAAAAGTGTGAAAGACAAAGCATTTATTTCTAAAAATATTGTTGAATTAACAAAGAAAGTGAAATGTTAGTCTGTCCGTAAACAGTGACTGTTTCAATTTATAACTTCTAGACTAATCACTATATAACCTTTTTTAACAACCTAGCCTTCTTTGCTCTTCCTTTCTCTATTCCAAAGTCGACATATGGAGGAAGAATATCATACCCATGGTTCTTGGCGAAGATCCAGGCGGTATCAATGTTACCACCACGGCAACCTTGCTGCTGTTTGCTGTTGCACGACAAAAGAGTTTGAGGACTTAGGATCACCTTCTCAGCTCCGTTCGATTGGATCGCAAGAATAGGTTACTGTATATTGTATTATTTTACTTAATTGCGTCATTTACGTGCGCCATGCTGAAATGCATGCATGAAGTCACATCATCATATCATCAGCTTATAAGGGCCTACTGCTGAGCGAAGGCCTCTTCTCCCATGGAGAATTTATAAGCATAAACCCGTGGTATACCAGATACATGTAGATACGCGAGACAAAGGCTGTTTTCTATTGAGACTCATATACCGACAGTCGATAGACAATATGTAGAATCACCATGCTTGCTCAAGGCGGATTGGCGATTTGAGACTTTAAATTTGAAATTGTATGTCCAGGTTTCGTCACGATATTTTCCTGCACCGTATTTTTTTTATATAGTAGATCGGCAAACGAGCTGACGGATAACCTGATGAGATACAAGTGCGTTGCCGACCTCTTAGGGATTAGGGTTTTGGAGATTAAGGGATCAGGGGAGGGGAAGGATTGGGCCTCCGGTAAGTTCACTCACACGGCGAAACACAACGCTGTGGTTGTTTCACGCCGGTTTTCTGTAAGGCCGTGGTATCACTCTGGTTGAGCCGACCCATTCGTGCCGAAGCATGGCTCTCCCACACTCTATGTATGCCAGAATGCCTTAATAATCATAGTAAGTCTATATCAGTAAAAGCCAAATTGGCCAGATTTTGAGCCCACATGCATACAGCGATCGCTTTAATCTTCGAAGAAGGTCCAAGTTTCCATTAAAGAGAACCTCTTCAACAAGAATCAGACCTAACATCACTAATATCCAAAGAAATCCTGTACCAAGGAGTCTAAGAGTTCTTAGCCGAACCACTTAACTATGTAATAAATATACTTAAGTATTTATTTTATTTATTTTTCGAGTTCATAATTGGTTTACAGTCAATAATTTAGCACTTAACGAGAAAAAAACAAAATGTATTAAATTTAGCTTGCCCAACGTACACAATAATGATTGTGACATAATTTTAAATGGGCAAAAGTTAGAATTTGTTAACGAGACTATGTTCCTAGGTATTACGCTAGACAATAAACTTCAATGGGGTTCCCACATAAAGACGCTTTCGGGAAGACTGAGCTCAGCTGTTTTTGCAGTTAGACAGATTAGACAGCTCACAGACGTGAACACAGCAAGGCTTGTTTATTTTAGCTATTTTCACAGCATTATGTCGTACGGAATTTTGCTATGGGGTCGAGCTGCGGAAGTAGATTCAATATTTATTTTGCAAAAGCGGGCTATCCGAGCGATATATAACTTGTCCCCTCGTGAATCTCTGAGAGAACTATTTAAAACGATAAATATCCTAACGGTACCTTGTCAGTTTATATATGAAAATATTATGTACGTAAGGAAAAATTTGCAATTATTTGAAAAAAGAAGCGATAGACACAATTTTAATACTAGAGGCAAAGATAGGCTGGCTGTGCCACGATTCCGTCTGTCCAAAGTACAGAAATCCTTTATGGGGTTCTGTGTAAATTGTTACAATAAAATTCCAAGAAGTGTATTAAATCTTAATGAACGAAAATTTAAAACTTATATTAAACGCGAATTATGTAGACAGGCATACTACAAACTTTCAGATTATATTGAGGATAAGAATGCCTGGCAGCATGTTGGTTCGGCTCCACTGGACAATTCTCAAATATGTAGTCAGTAGTTATCAAAATTCTCAAAATTAATGAAACCTTGAATGAGTTTATATAGAAGCATTCTTTTGGATTGTGAGTACGCATATGTGAGCGCCATGTACGAAACAACAAAGGATTAAAATTTTAATGATAGATTAAAAAGACCATCATTTGTTCCTTTTTATTAACAACTTGTCTCTGCATTGTTCTCACATAGGGGTACAGTAATGTATGTATAAAAAATGTATTATTGATGAATTGTAAAACAAATATTTTTTTTTAAAAGAGTAACGATGGAGTTTCTTGCTCGTTCTTCTCCATTCGAAACTACAATTTGGAACGAGCACCTAGCTTCACTGACGAACAGACTGACAGACTACTATTCTATTTTGACGTTTCAAAAGTACCTATTTATGGTTTATTTGGAATAAATGATTTTGATTGATTGATTGATTGATTGATTGGTATAGATACTATGTAAATACACCAATATGCGAGATGATAATAGGCTCTATTAAATAATGGATGACGTTAAGATATTCATTTAGCAGTAAATCTTAAACCATTTCAAAGTCATCACGAGATTTCGTGACCGTCCGAAAGTGCAAAGCAAGAAAGCACGAACCCAGTTTACTTTACGTAAATAAATAGGTACCTAGATTTTGCTGTCGTAAAATCGTAATGTATTCATGAAAACAACTATTGATATTTATTTTCTTTTTATTAGTGTGTATGTATAATAAATATAGTAACATATCATCAGCAATTTTTATACATTTACCTACATATTTTATCAATGACAAATTATTTTTTATTTGAATTTGACCAAAATAAAGGCTGTTTCGAGCGCTAAGCTAGTAAATAGCGTAACTTTTTATGAAAAACATTTCTTAAAATTAAGTAGAGATATCGTCAAATTAATGAAAAGTAAGTACCTACACATAAATACATTCTAACATTTAATTGTATTATAAAGCGAAAATCATTTATAGGTACTATTTGACCTAGGTACCTAACTACCAAATTCGCCACTTATTCATATGTATACCTCTTTAATCAAATCTAACTAAACAGATTCCTTTCATCCAGTTCAAAACACACCACAAAAGGAATGCTTGAAGGTAACATAAGAATACACTGTTCTCACAAGTCATGTCGTTGTGAAGCTGAGACGCAGCTAAAAATAAAACAAGAGCCCTCAACGTGAGGGAAGGTAAGTCAGGTAGAACAAAAAGATTGCACTACTTGGAAATATGGCTGTTTTATTTTGCACCTCGGCTGCGGCTATTTTTGGAGTCTGAGACTAAGTTACTAACGAATTGTTGTTTATAACTAAAGCTTATAATATAACATAAGTAGTGATTTGGGAATGTTATATTTAGTAGGTATAATAGGCTTTGAGAGAATAGTTACTTAGTCCTTTTGAAAATGTCGAAATAAAGAACGAATCGATCCGAAATGACTGCACAATTGGCGCAAAAGTTGGGTAATCCGACACCAAGGACCTATCTGCAGAGAATTATTCTGTGTAACTCACAAATTATGATTCGGTCTTAGTTTTTTAAGCGTTGCCCCCACATAAGGATTGTCTCCTGTGTCGTGGGTGCGGTTACAAACACATCACACACCACACAGACACGGCAACAATTCGTGGATCACGCAAAGAGTTGTTCCGTTTGGAAATCGAAACCCCGACACGTATCACGGCAGCCGATTGCCACCGCTTCAATTGTGGAGTCGGTTTGTTGTTTACACAGTATCATTTTTAACGCACCCAGGAGAGAATCCTCGTAGATATTGTGACAGAAAACTCTTTGACATCATGACGTCAATGGATGGTTGTCAAACGTTGCCTAGAGATTGTAAATTTCGTCGTGAATTGTCAACACGAGTTGGTGTAATCGGTAAGGCGTGTGGATTACACCACAGAGACCCCGAGTTCGAGTCCCGCCGTAAACATGAAGTTTTTTAGTTGATGGAAGTTTTGTCGAACTTTCTGGAATATTTGAGTGAAAGTAATGAAAAATTAAGGAGCGAGAAGGAGAATAAATAAAAATGAATAACGAAATTATTGGAAGGTTCTGGAGGCATGACGATCAAAAAGAATAACGAAATTGAATGTTCTAGAACCTGACCAGGGGTATATAAGCGGAACTGCGGCTCACCGCTGGCAGTTGAGTTCTAAGTCTAAAGCGATTCGGAAGAAAAGGAAGAAGTGAAAAAAAAAAGAAAAGTGAGTGAAATAGTGAAGTGCAGTGAAATAGTGAAGTGCAGTCAGTTAAGTGAGTTAAGTCAGCGTGAACGGCAAAGTTGTGTCAGTCGGCCGGACTCTGCTGGAGAGGAACGCCGATAACTTAACTCCGTGGACGCTGTAACTTAAGTGCAATAGAAAGTCTGAAAACCGGTATTAGTGTTTCATTTCATCCAATCCCGTAACCCAAGCCCGCATAGTCAGGAACGTGACGAGGCACGTAACATTTGGTGTCAGAAGTGGGATTGGAGAAAAATGCCGCTAGTGCCGCAGGACGTAAGAGGAGTGAGTACCCGTTCAATGTCAGAAGCGCAGCGTGTGAGGGAAGAGGGTGCTGCAGCTCAAACCAGCGATGCAGAAGCCAAGCCTGTGCAAGTGGATCTTCTGCTACAGCTGCAGCACATGATGGCAGAGCAAGCGCGCCGCCAAGGAGAGCAAGCGCGCCGCCAAGAAGATCAAGCGCGCCGCCAAGAAGAGCAAGCGCGCTGTCAGGCAGAACAGCTGCGGGAGCTGAAAGAAGAGCAAGCGCGCCGCCAAGAAGAGCAAGCGCGCCGCCAAGAAGAGCAAGCACGCTGTCAGGCAGAACAGCTTCGGGAGCAAGCACGCTGTCAGGCAGAACAGCTTCGGGAGCAAGCACGCTGTCAGGCGGAACAGCTACGGGAGCTGAAAGAAGATCAAGCTCGCCGCCAAGAGGAGCAAGCGCGTCGCTTGGAAGAGATGCATAAGGATTTCACGAAGGGACTGCAAAAGGCTGTCGAACGGGTACAAGAAGTGGAGGAAGGGTTAGGCAAGTTGGAACATCGCGTCATGGCCATAGAGGAGAGAGTGGAAGAAGAGATCTCCAAAATCAAGCAGGAAGTGGCAAGCCCAAGCCCTTTGAAGAGCCGAAGCCGTCTTGCAGCCGTTTTTGACACCCCAAATGTGGCCTCAAGCGCAACGAAAGGGCTCAAGATTCCCCATTACGACGGAACAACATCCTGGACCGCGTTCAAGCTACAGTTTGAGACACTTATGGAGGCTTATGGTTGGACTCAGAAGGAAGCACAGTCAGCCCTCACCCTGGCCCTCCGTGATCAAGCGCTCTCAGTGCTGGAAGCTATCGGCGCAAGTGGGGATCTCAGCTTTAGTGCCCTCCTCGACGCACTTGAGGCACGTTTTGGAGACAGCCACCTCGAGCACGTGTACAGAGCGCAATTAAAAGAGCGTACTCAGCGTGCTAATGAGAGTCTACAGCAATGGTCCGTGGAAATCGAAAAACTTGTGCGTCGAGCTTTCCGGTCGACTCCGTCAATGATTGAAGGCACGCTTCTCCAAGCGTTCATTGACGGTATTCGGGACCCCGAAGTACGAGCTGCTGTTCATCTGGGCCATCACAAGAACATGAAAGAAGCTCTGGCCCATGCATTGGAAGTGGAAGCCGTGCGTGGCAACTCCCGTACCTTACGTCTGCGGGAAATGACGACAACGGAGCAGGTACCTCCACGCCGTCGGAATTTCATGTGCTATGGATGTGGAGAGCGTGGGCACATACGGAGCGACTGCTCGAAGAAGATGAACCGCCAGGACGCGGCGGTCTCAACTTCTGACCAGCAGGGAAACTTAAATCCAGCCAGGGCTGCGGGGTGGGCGTTGGCTGGTAATGGAACAATCCCAACAATCTACATCAAGCAAACCAACGATGGAAATACTCTGGTGATAGACGGTCAAGTAAATGGGAAAAACAGTCAGCTAACATTAGATACTGGAGCTTCAAGGACGGTGATGAATGTTCGGCTGCTCGAGCAAAACATCAGGAAACACCTTAAACCAATTGTTGGCCTACAAATGAAATCAGCTACCGGCCAGTGCATACCGATAAGTGGAAAACTGCATGCAACAATCAAAATTGGGGAACGTGTTTATCGACATGAGGTTATTGTGGCCAAAATTCTGGATGACTGCATCCTGGGACTTGACTTCCTGCAAGGGCACCAGTGTAACATCGACCTAAAATCTGGAGTTTTACTATGTGGAACTGAGGAAATTCCGATGAAGGGTGGAACCCTGGGAAAAGTTTGCTGTTTAAGAAGAACTGTTCTTGAACCAAAATCACAGACTCTCGTACCAATCGCATTACCTAGGAGGAGGGAAGGAAGTTTACCTCTAAGGTGCGCTGTGATTGATAAATCGGAACACGTAAACTCATGGCTACCGGCGAGAACTGTCGTGGGGTCATCTGATGTCAACCGCATTCCGGTATTCAACTTCAGTGATTCAAAAATTACGATTGAAGAAGGAGAGCCTGTGGGCGTATTGGAAGAAGTGGCCTGGATAAGAAAATGCTCAGAGAATCTTGTGAAGAAGGACAGTACGGGAATAGACTTTGTAACGAAAATCTTAGACGAAAACAAAAGTCTGACAAAAGTGGAGACTATGAAAGCTAGAAATTTACTTCTTCGATTCTCTGATGTGTTTTCAAGAAGCGATGGTGATATTGGCCGAACTGGTTTGGTGAAGCATAAAATAAACACAGGTGATACAATGCCAATTCGTCAAAGGCCCAGACGCATACCATTCGCTCGTGAGAAAGAGGTTGAAGAAATGATTGACGATATGAGGAATAATGACGTGATAGAGCCCTCTTCTAGCCCTTGGTGTTCACCTGTCGTGCTTGTCAAGAAGAAAGATGGTTCAACGAGGTTTTGCGTAGACTATCGACGATTGAATGATGTAACCAAGAAGGATAGCTACCCGTTACCAAGAATCGATGACACACTTGACACACTGAGTGGCATGAAATGGTTTTCAACGCTCGATTTGAAAAGCGGCTATTGGCAGGTGGATTTGGATCCCAAGGACAAGGAAAAGACCGCATTCTCAACTGGGAAGGGACTCTGGCAATTTAAGGTGATGCCATTTGGATTATGCAATGCACCGGCAACCTTTGAGCGTTTGATGGAACAGGTGCTGGCGGGACTGCTGGGCGAAACCTGCCTAGTTTACCTCGATGACATCATCATTGTTGGACGGGATTTTGACGATCATCTAAGGAAATTGGAAAAGGTACTCGATAAGCTGCGTGGAGCAAATTTAAAGTTGAGTCCAAAGAAATGCTCTTTCTTCAAGCGCGAAGTGAATTATCTAGGACATGTTATTTCTGAGAGAGGAATTGAGACTGATCCAGCCAAGACTGCCGCTGTTAAGGAATGGCCGACACCTAAAGACAAAACGCAAGTTCGGGCATTTCTTGGATTGTGCTCGTATTATCGGCGGTTTGTGAAAGGATTCTCGGACATTGCCAAGCCTTTGCATCGATTGACAGAGGAGAAACGTGCCTTTATCTGGGACGAGGATTGTGAGCAAGCCTTTCGAGAACTAAAAGAACGGCTTTGTAACACACCAATTCTCGGATACCCCAGCGCGAAAGGAATATTCGTAGTTGATACGGATGCCAGCAATATTGGAATAGGAGGTGTCCTTTCACAACGCGATGGTGAGCTGGAGAAGGTTATTGCTTACTTCAGCAAGTCACTATCCAAGCCGGAGAAGAATTATTGCGTGACCAGGAGGGAATTGCTGGCCGTAGTCAAAACTCTGCACCATTTCAAGAAGTATTTACTGGGACGGAAATTTTTGATCAGAACTGATCACGCTGCTTTGAAATGGCTGCTTCAGTTTAAGGATCCCGAAGGCCAAGTAGCCAGATGGTTGGAACAACTTCAGGAATTTGACTTTGAAATCGAACATCGCGGCGGAAGAATTCATGGCAACGCAGATGCATTATCGAGACGCCCATGCGTGGAAGATTGCAAGCATTGTGCCAAGAAGGAAACTGCTTTTCTTAAGGTGATAAGGACTGATACTGTTGACGAGGCATGGGGAGACGATGCGATGAAATTAGAACAGGAAAGAGATGCAGATATCAAACCAATACTGGAGTGGCTACGAAGTGGTAACAAGCCAAGTTGGAGTGACGTCGCCCAATATAGCGCGGTAACGAAAGGTTTATGGGCACAGTGGAAAAGCCTTACGCTGCATAACGGACTTCTGTGCAGGAAATGGGAATCAACAAACGGCAAGGACGAGCATTTGCAATTGGTGGTGCCTCGTTCAAAAATAAGGGATGTATTAAAAGCGTTCCATGATGGATCTTCTGGAGGACATTTGGGAATTAGGAGGACATTGGTGAAGATCAAGGAGAGGTTTTATTGGTTGCATTGCAAATATGACGTCGAAGATTGGTGCCGGAAATGCACTAGTTGTGCAGCTGTCAAGGGTCCACAAACAAGAAGCAGAGGGGCGATGAAAATCTACAATGTTGGTATGCCTTGGGAGAGAATAGCCTTAGACATCGCTGGACCATTTCCAATCACTGATTCGGGCAATCGCTACGTTTTAGTGGTTATGGATTATTTTACAAAATGGCCGGAGGTCTTTGCCATACCGAATCAAGAGGCAGTAACTGTAGCCACGAAGTTGGTAAACGAGGTATTCACCCGATTCGGAGTGCCCTTGGAGATGCACAGTGATCAAGGACGGAACTTTGAATCCCAAGTTTTCCAGGAAACTTGTAAACTTTTGGGAATCCATAAGACTCGAACGACCCCTTATCATCCACAGTCAGATGGAATGGTCGAACGCTTCAACCAAACATTGGAGCGACACTTAGCAAAGGTGGTTGACAGCCATCAGAGAGATTGGGACACTTACATACCTCTCTTCTTGCTTGCCTATCGGACTGCTGTACATGAAAGTACCGCAAAGACGCCTGCATTTGCAAATTTTGGAAGGGAATTGAGATTACCGGCAGATCTTGTATCGGGCTGTCCACCTGGCGACTCTCGCACCGAGTTTAGCGATTACATAAGCGAGTTAAGGGCAAAAATGTTGGACATTTATGAGCAGATCAGGGAGGCCGGTTTTCAAGCTAGTGATCGCGCAAAGACGCGCTATGATCGACGAGCCAATTCTGTTGGGTTTGAAGAGGGGTCATTGGTCTGGCTTCATAATCCAGTCAGAAGGAAGGGAAAATCTCCAAAGCTGCAACCGAGTTGGGAAGGTCCTTACGAGATAGTCACGAAGATCAATGACATTACTTACAGAATTCGGAAGTCTTCAAGGAGCCCTTTGAAAGTTGTCCATATAGACAGGTTGGCGAGATATTACGGCAGCAACGATGCTCGGGACGAGCGAATCTAAGAGGGGGGCAGTGTGACAGAAAACTCTTTGACATCATGACGTCAATGGATGGTTGTCAAACGTTGCCTAGAGATTGTAAATTTCGTCGTGAATTGTCAACACGAGTTGGTGTAATCGGTAAGGCGTGTGGATTACACCACAGAGACCCCGAGTTCGAGTCCCGCCGTAAACATGAAGTTTTTTAGTTGATGGAAGTTTTGTCGAACTTTCTGGAATATTTGAGTGAAAGTAATGAAAAATTAAGGAGCGAGAAGGCGAATAAATAAAAATGAATAACGAAATTATTGGAAGGTTCTGGAGGCATGACGATCAAAAAGAATAACGAAATTGAATGTTCTAGAACCTGACCAGGGGTATATAAGCGGAACTGCGGCTCACCGCTGGCAGTTGAGTTCTAAGTCTAAAGCGATTCGGAAGAAAAGGAAGAAGTGAAAAAAAAAAGAAAAGTGAGTGAAATAGTGAAGTGCAGTGAAATAGTGAAGTGCAGTCAGTTAAGTGAGTTAAGTCAGCGTGAACGGCAAAGTTGTGTCAGTCGGCCGGACTCTGCTGGAGAGGAACGCCGATAACTTAACTCCGTGGACGCTGTAACTTAAGTGCAATAGAAAGTCTGAAAACCGGTATTAGTGTTTCATTTCATCCAATCCCGTAACCCAAGCCCGCATAGTCAGGAACGTGACGAGGCACGTAACAATATATAAACAATAATGTCTTTTAAATTTGTATTATCAAAATCTTACCTATCAGAAACAATAGTAGCTAGCGAAACTGCCCAGTCGGATCCACACCAGCCCTGGTCCACGACAGGAGAGATGTAGTTCTTCCAGTGCTGCCTAGCATCGAACTGTGGTGGGTAGGGAATGTCCTTGTCAATGTTGATGGGTCCTAGGCGGGCGGTCTCACGGCTCAATGGCAGGGTTCCTGTGAAGAGGTGAAAGTTTATTTCATTAACACTTCATATTTGTATAATTAATCGTGCAAGGCCGGACTTAATGCAAAATGGCATTCTCTGTAAGTGAATCTCAAGTTTCGTATCACTACAAAATACAAAGTCGCTTTCTCTGTCTCTATATCCTTGTGTATGCTTAAATCTTTAAAACTACGTAACGCTAAAGCTAAAGTCGCCTTTTTGTCAGGCAATTGAATCAATTTCACAGACTTTTCCATTTAGCCATATTATCTATCACCATTACAAGAACTCAAGATACTCAATCACGCTCACAGAAATTGTACCAATGAAACAGTTATAAAAAAAAAAACAGCAAATTAGATCACATTAGGCACTAACAATGTTCTAATTTAAGCTTCTAAGAAATAGATTTAAGAACTTGTACAATATAAAGCCTCGAGCCATTTGAACCATTATGGATAGAATTACTTTGTCCAATGAATACAAATAACTTTCTCCTTTGTTCTGTTCTCAGCTGAATACTTGTCTAGATCGCTCCACTTTCATCTTGCTTTTGTCACAGAGTTTATTTAGATTTAAATTCATTTAACTAAGTGTTTTTTTCTAAGTATCGAGGCTAGATATTTTTTTCATACTTAGATGATGTTTGAATATTCGTGAACCTAAAAAAGAGCTTTTCACAGCCTATTGATTTTATGTGTCAGGACGCCAAACGAAAGAGTGCGTCGGCAACGCATTCGTAACTCGTGTGTCTGAAACCGATCTAATTGTATTATTAAAACCATATCCGTAACCAGATCCGAAATAACATATCCATAACATAACTAGATCTGGTCTTCACCGCTTTAGAATAAAAAAGAATAAAGCTGCCACATATCCAGACAAAACACGTCTCAAAACACATGAAATGTTCTAAGGATTAAAGCCTAGATTAGTTTGAACAGTTCAAAATGGTTGTAATAACTTCTGACTACTCTAGACCGAGACCATGGAGTTTCTATTTCAGTGCGATCTCTGATATACAATAAAATATATAACTTACTTAATATTCTATTAACGTCAATTGTGGCTTGTAAAAGCGGGTAGCAACATTACACCAAATATTAAAAGCTATTATAGAAACAGAGATACAGAGTGTTTTAAAAGTTTAAGTGTGGAAGAGCCGTGCTTTGGCACCAATGGGCTCGATACGAAACGTGTTGACTTTCGCTGTGAGTGAGGTTACTATAGGCCCAAATCTCCCCCTATCTCCAGGACTTCCAATCCTTAATTCCTAAAAGGCAAAGCATTTGTAATTTTATATAGACGGCACCATCAGGTGATAGTTTTAACCTGTTTGCAGTCTAACACAAAAAAAACACTTAACGTAAATTATTATAGAGGTGTTTTTTTTATTTTCTGTGCAAGTTATTTTTGAGTTTTTGTTTTATTTTCTGAGAGAGTTGCATGAGATGTCATGGGATTGTTCAACCCCCTCAGATCCCCCGATCTCACGTGAGATTTTTCAGAATGTGAGTTTCTTATGAAAACACTTTGATTGTAAAAAGAAAAAAAACAAACAAACGACTAGTTAAAAATGGAATACTAAAATTTTTAAGTACTTATAATTTTTTTTTACAATTAGAAAAAAAACTCAAAGACGATGTTTCAATAACACGCTGTATATCTCAAGTGACAATCTTTCCCAGCAACAATGCACTTCCATTAAAACAAATGATAGTTGTAAATAGCCAAATGATTTGAAGCATTTATTTCTATTTGTTTCGTTGAGCTTTATTTTGAAAGTAACAAGGGTCAAAATGAAATGGCTAGGTGGATGGAAATTTTCGCGTATGAGATGGTGGATGTAAAAATATAGGTACCTTGTCTAAGTATGGAAGGATAATAATTTTTTACACTATTTTATTATGTCGATCTGTACCGAACGATATAATAAAATGTAAGAATCTACACCACGCAACATATAAAAAGAACTTTTTTTTTCTGAAACTTATACCTAGCCAGATTCATGTAAGTATGTTTTTTATTCTCCCTCGCAAAAATGGCTGGACCGATTTGGTTGAGATATGTATGTAAATAGGTGATATCTACATTTTATCAATATACCACACACGCGAAGCCGCAGTTGGAAGTCAATCCAAACTAATATTATAAAAGCGAAAGTAATTCTGACTGTCTGTCTTTTCTTCACGCATAAACTACTGAACCTATTTGTGTGAAATTTGGTACAGACATAGTTTGGAACTCAAGAAAGGACATAGGATAGTTTTTAAACCAACAATCTGTAGGAAGTCACTATTACACGCGAGCAAAAGCAAGTATATGTGCAAAGGTTTTTTAGAGCTTTTTTAAGAACTTTGCTGATAGTAAAGTTATTTAACGTCGACATCGTCTTGAGAGGACTTTTGACCTAATCTTCTTAATTGGTAATTTGCTTTAGGATCGCAGTTAGGTTGACGAAAGTTTAAAAGATACATTACCTAGACTTCGATTATCAGTCAGATTGACTGTCTGTTTTGCCTATGCCATTAAAGTAAAGTAACGCACTCGTAACTCCTCCGTTGTTACGATGTCCTTGGGCAAGCCGATTGCTTACCATCAGGTAATCCGACAGCTCGTCCGTCCTATCATAAAAAAATATATAATAAATCGTGACTTACCGAGTTTATAAATGAGTCCATCTTTAAGTTTCTTGCCCTGAAACTGTGTGTAGTTGGCAGCTCTCCAGGACAGGCCAGCTTGTCTGACGTTCCTCAACACCTCATCACTCATCATACAAGGGTCCTCGTCGCACTTCCATTCGCTTCCACCTCCAGGGACCACCGTGCATTCGCTGTTGAAGAAATTTAGAGGTTAGGATTATTTAATAAGTTTGACTGCACGGATGGCGCGGTGGCTGGGCAACTGGCTGCCGTGCAACGTGTCGCGGGTTGGATTCCCACACGGAATAACACTTTGTGTAATCCACAAATTGTTGTTCCGGGTCTGGGTATCATGTGTATGTGAAATTGTATGTTTGTAAACGCACCGTCGATACAGAAGAAAATGTGGGGCAAAAATTTGCAAAAAACATAAAATAAATTTGATTTTAAATGTTTGAAAATTCGTATCTTCACAGGTAATTTGTTTCTTTAATAATTTAATATATTGCCTAATATTGTTCGATATATATTCGATTACAGCGCTTTTCAAGTTTGTCCCAATCTATACCTATATGAGTTGCGGATGCAACGTAAGTATGGAAGGAAGATCTCTACCGTATTCTGAAGCGTATTAGAGTCAAATTGGAAACCAGCCATTATACCGTCTTCGTTCGACCAGGACTATAAGAGTGATAGAATTCTGATAGGTAAGTAATCTCTTAAATTATACTCCCGTACGATCCCGTAAGCGCCCTCTAGAATTTGGCACCTGAAGTAACTGCTCCGTTCGCCGTTTGAGCTTGCCCTATACTTAAACATATATTTTTTCATAAGATTGGCAAAGGATCCGACGGACTACCTGGTGGTAAGCAATCAGCGCCGCCCATGGACACCCGTAATACCAAAGCAGTTATTACAAGTGCGTTGCTGGCTACTTATTAGGGATACACTACTGGTCTGCTCGTTTGCCGACTCATCACATGATAAAAGCCTTTATATAAATGTCATTGTAGCTATTTTATTACTTATTCCTTTAGGGCAGATTTTTTAATGGTCAGATAAAAGTTATCTGGGGATTAATTATGATGCTGTCGCGTCAGAATGTTTGTATAAGACAATGACAGCAACAATTTTATTCCTCAGATAACATTTATTTGACTATTGATAGCTCCTAAGTTTAGTATTATAGTTTATTGTCAGCTATGACTCAAATATCAACAGAATTACCACTTCAGTATTCAGAACACATTATTTGAAAAACTATAAACAAATCATTTTATTTACGACCGTTTTTCAACTCTTGCGCATGATAATGAGACGACATCTGAAACTTCTGTTTCATATTAAATAAGGACGCGACATATCGAGGTCGATACTCGACAATGACATTGTATATCGATTGTAGGCGTTTGTTTATCGATAACTCGGAGACTCTTAATATGGTGATAATTGATACAATGATGAATAATGCTCGAAGTAAATGATATTCAGTTAGGTACTTATCTTTGGTGACACATTGTAAAGAGGAATCATTTTGTTTTGTTTTTATTGATCATGCATGAGGATCAATGTGAATTTTCCCGAGACATAGATATGTATTTAGAGGCCAATGATCAACGGTGAAGAAAGATATTATTGGATTGGACCTTTGTTTTTGTCAGGGGAAAATCATCAAATGACATTTCCCGCCCAGGGTAAGGCCAGAGAGAGTGTCAGAATCTTACTGACTAAAAACCCCTGTTCTTTCTCCTGCTCTAGGCCGAGGCCGTGGTGACTCATTACGCTTAACCCGCAACTCCGGCTGAAAGGGAAACCTGGATTTATAATTTGTAATTATTAGTTTGACGTCGAAATTCCGCCTTGACTAAGTGTAGTAATTAGCACTCAAATAAGTACGCTCCGTGTGAGAAGAGTTCTTTGCTCAGCAGTGGGCACTTACTTATAGGCTGATGATGATAAACATTGTAACTTGTCAAGCTTTCGAATTTAGGCTTAACTTGCTTCTTCCCACGACTCCGTTCGCTTGGAATAGTGACTTCCTGCTGATTTTTGGTAGAAAAACTATCCTATGTACTTTCTCGAGTTCCAAACTATGTCTGTACCAAATTTCACAGAAATCGGTTCAGTAGTTTACGCCTGAACAAAAGACGGACAGACAGAGTTACTTTTGCATTTATAATACATATTAGTTTCGATAATAGTTTGAAAAAAAAAACAAATGATACTGTACATTTAATATGAAAGAATAATATTTTAAATTTATATCTACATGTCAATCCTTCTTTGTGGTAAATTAATGATTCGAATTTCGAACTATTGTTTACAGAAATAGGCTCGCCTGTTTTTGTGACGTCATTATTTCTAGACCCATTTATGGGCGATACCATTCTTGGTTGTGACTTATGATAATTCGTTTTATACATTTAGGTACCTAACGTTTTTTTTAGTACATATTTGCTTCAATGTCTAGACTTCAGACGGAGTAGGAGGGCTTCAGTTTGAGTTTGTATTTATCAGTTATTTTTAATGCAAAGAAAATAAAGTAAAGCTATTTATAACTGAACATACCAATAATAGATTCGAACGAATAAAGGCTTAGGTCATTCTGTCTCCGCATTAAATTTGCCGAAGGACGCGGACGTGGCAACTATTTCGTTTTTTCTTCTCGCAATTGGCGAACTTCATCAAGTGTCTTCTCTAGTCCTGAGCAGTTTTAGTTCCAAGCAGGAGTGTCAGACTCTTACTGACTAAATACCACCCCATTCCTGTTCACAGCCGAGGCTGCTGCAAATGATTACTGTTGACCCGCAAACCCGGTTGAAGATCAGCCCCATGTTTAGCCCCATTTGTCTTCCTTTTTCTTTTCCTTTTTTTTCTTTTTTTTTTGAATAAACGTTGCCCCACACTAGGATTTCCTCCTAAATCGTGGGTGCGGTTACAAACATACAATTTCACATGCACATGACACCCAGATCCGGAACAAAAATTTGGGGGTCACAGTTGTTGTGGCGACACAGTTGCCCAGCCACCGCACCAACCGTGCAGTCATCTGTGGTGGTCGACTGGCTCTTTAAGGCATTCGCTGCAGACCATTATCCTTGTTGACCATGTTTCGATTCCGTATTAATATTATGACGTAATTTGAGCTCTAAATAGAATACGAGGACTAAATGCCGACGCTACGTAATAATCCTTCAGTTAATTCTTAAATTTTATAGCGATTAAAATGTTGTGTTATATTTTATTGCCATGACAACACACATTGTTTTCCAAAAGTGGTCGTTAAACCATTATTATATTGTTTATAGTCAAGTCGTAAAATAATTTATTGTAGACTAGCTTTAGCCCGCGACTCTATTTGCGTGGAAAAGTGACTTCCTGCAGATTTTTGGTATAAAAACTATGCTATGTCCTTTCTCGAATGTACCAAATTTTACAGTGCAATATCAGAAGACCAGAAGACTCACTCGGCATATTAAGAAGGCACTTATTGACATTGATAATGATATTCAGAAAATATTTTAAAGTGCAATTAAGATATCAAATCCATTACTAGTTAGTTAATTAGTAAATGTATGGCACTTGGATACCGGCATTTTGGATCACATAAGTAGCTGTGGTTTGTTTACACAACAAACGTTTTGATTGATGACTTGACGTGACGTGAATGTGTTTAATATAATGTATAGAGCGTTTAATCACGCTTTTGTAATTCTTAAAGAGAACAGGGTTTTTTGTGAGAGAAAATCATCAAATGACTTCTCCCGCTAGCTACTTGCGTTTAATATATAATAAGTTATTCTCAAAACATAAATGTTTTTTTTGGGGTAAGAATCATTTTATTTCTTCTCCTGATCCAGGTTGGGGCGGAAGGGTGTGTGCTAATCTAATGACTAAAAACCTAGTCCCGTCTTCTGCCTGGAACTGCATTATATGTATAAAAAAATACTATAAAATTATAAAAATCATAGTACCGTGAAATAGTAGGATCGTATCACGGCTTATAATGACGTGACGTACTAACACAATGTAAACAAACAACTAATAACAAATACTTAAAACACATCAGAAAACTAACATTCTTGTATCAAGGAAGCAATTTATGATGTTGAGAATGTAATGTTAATTGATATAGGTACTGATGTAATACATTTGTAATCTATGGATTTAATGACACGAACAAACAACATAATATATCACGTATTTTTTCTATGAAAATACTGAGACAATGTAAACATAACTAGCGACCTGCCCTGGCTTCGCGCGACTGCGATGCTGATACTAAATTTCTCCACTATTTAATGGATGTTATTATAGGTATACATTATATGAACCATCCTATTCAATCACTCTATCCATTAAAAACCGGATCAAAATCCGTTGCGAACTTTTCAAGATTTAAGCGTACCTACATAGGGATTTAGGGACAGTGAAAGCGACTTTGTTTTATACTATGCAGTAATTAGATTTTGCCAGCGGCTTCGCCCGCAAAACCAGGGTTAAAAGTACCCTACACCGTATGTCTTATTCAAGAAGCGAGGGCCACGAATGGGCCGGTTCGATCGGAATAATACCACGGCATCACAGAAAACCGACGTTTAATAACTACAGCTTTGTGTATTTAAATATTTTTTGTAAATTCTCCGTAGTGTTGGTGACTGGGCTTCTTTAAGTTTTGCAGTCCTTTTTGTGCTTTTAAGGCTTAAGTACCTACATCATTCTGCCTCCTATATTAAATTTGCTGACGGACATTCCCTCTCGTATTGTCCAAGGAAGAAAAAGTTATTCATTGATTGTCGCCCCACAAAAAAACACGCAAACATAATGATTAGTATCATCAACAAATGACCATGCAACAACGCATTCCATGCGTCCACTAATTGCTGTAATTCAGTATTTAACAAACAATTAACTTCTCTAAGTCTGACATCATCAGTCTGAAGTTCTGACATCAGAACCTTGACCTCCACTCGTTAGACACTGAGTTCTAAAAAAGATTTTGTTGATTCTATTGTTTAGACGTTCATTTTGTTGCTTGCAATTAAAAATGGTCTAAGTCATTAATTAATTTGTGATTGATTGTCAAAACATTTCTTTAGGATTGATCGGTAAATGACCATTCGGATCACCTGATGGTAAGCGATCAGCACTGCTCACAGTCACTCCTAACTCCAAAGGGGTGCTCGATGGC